GCTACAGAAAAATCCTATCTCAAAAACAACCAATAAATAAATCAGGATTTTTTTATTTTTTGTAAAGAGAGATGCACAGTTTCATTGCCTATTTGATACAGGTGAATGCCATCTAAGGCCATCCTGACCTTACTTCACTCAGAGGCAGTCACTCTGGGCTAGCTGCTCCTGAGGACGGAGTCTGGAGCTGCCCTCTTCTGGTTGGCAGTGGTCTTGGGCGTTTGCTTGGGCATGTGTTCTATGGCGTTGCATGGGTGTGGCATTTCAAAGAGAGAGCTTATGGGAAGCAATGTCTGGTAACAGGGAAGTGACAGACCAGCCATGACATATTTACCCACCCTGGGCATGAGGTGTCCAGCAAAGGGGAGCTCTCACGTCGGACAGGAACATTCATGGTATGCGATAGTGTGGACAATCAGGAGTTAGAGCTGATGAGCCTCATGACCTGGAGCAATGGACAAGAGGCCCACTAGGCAATCCTGCTACATCTTTTTTTTTTTTTCAAGACAGGGCTTCTCGGTGTAGATTTAACTTGTCCTGGAACTCACTCTGTAGACCAGGCTGGCCTTAAACTCACAGAGATCCGCCTGCCTCTGCCTCCTGAGTGCTTGGATTAAAGGCATGAACCACCAGCGCCCGTTGACCTACTGGCTATAGTTAACCTAGGCTTAAGAATCAGGGAACAAAGCAGAGGGACCTTTGAGTTTAAATTTTAATGTTCACTGGCCTTTAATCCCAGCACCTGGGAGACAGAGGCAGATAGATCTCTGTAAGTTCAAGACCAGACCAGCCTGGTCTACAGAGTGAGTTCCAGGACAGACAGGGCTGTTACATAGAGAAACCCTGTCTCGGAAAACAACAACAACAAAAAAACCAAAATTTTAATGCTCTTCTGTGTTTCTTGCATGATGATGCTATGATCAAATACATAAGGAAAATACCAGGGTCCTACTGCCATACAGAGAACAGCCAATGACATTCACAAAAGCCACAATACTACTGACAACAAATAGGTGTTCGATCCCGTCACCAGGGCAAGCATAGCTTCTTTTCTGTAGGATGATTTTGTTTTTCTTTCTTTCTTTCTTTCTTTTTTTTTTTTTGGTTTTATAAGACAGGGGTTCTCTGTATTGTTTTGGAGGCTGTCGGTCCAGCCCGGCCTTGAACTCACAGAGATCTGCCTGCCTCTGCCTTCCGAGATTTTGTTTTTCTAAAGTTTTATGGAGAACAAAAGATTCCTGGCAATCTGAAAACAACAATTTGTTGTTTTTCGGGAACAGGGTCAAACTCTGTATGTAGCTGATGCTGCCTGACTTTAAACCCACGATCCTCCAGCACACCCTTCGACTGCTGGGATTATAGTTCTGAGCCAGTATTTGTACCTAATACTGCTACACTGAGCACTGGGATTTAACAGCAACTGGGGACCTTCAGATTACCACAGCCAGATGGAGTAGACTTTCAGTGCCAGGTTGTATCCTGGAGCAAGCAGAAATGTGAGAGAAACTCTGGAGTAAAAGAACACCCAGGCTAGCCGGGCGGTAGTGGCACACGCCCTTAATCCCAGCACTCGGGAGTTCGAGGCCAGGCTGGACCGACAGCCTCCAAAACAATACAGAGAAACCCTGTCTCATAAAACCAAAAAAAAAAAAAAAAAAAAAAAGAGCACTCAGGCTGTTCTTTTTCTTTTCTTTTTTCTTTTTTTTCGAGACAGGGTTTCTCTGTGGCTTTGGAGGCTGTCCTGGAACTAGCTCTTGTAGACCAGGCTGGTCTCGAACTCACAGAGATCCACCTGCCTCTGCCTCCCGAGTGCTGGGATTAAAGGCGTGTGCCACCAACGCCCGACCAGGCTGTTCTTTAAGAAGGAAGAGTCAGAGGGCTGGAGAGATGGCTCAGAGGTTAAGAGCACTGTCTGTTCTTCCAGAGGTCCTGAGTTCAATTCCCAGCAACCACATGGTGGTTCACAACCATCTATAATGAGATCTGATGCCTTCTTCTGGTGTGCAAGCATGTATGCAGATAGAACACTGTATACATAATAAATAAATATTAGAAAAAGAAGGAGTAGTCAGGCAGCCGCAGGCAAAGAGGCCGCAGGAAACATCAGCCCCATTTGCCCAGGAGTGTGCCAGGTGGGCAAGAGCCACCAGGAAGAGACTTGGCAGAAACATGGTAAATTGGGGATGGGGGAAGAGAGAGCAGTAAATAAGAAGAAAAAATCAGTTCAGGTTTGGAAACTGAGAGCCATCGAGCGACAGAGACAGAGAGGTAGAACAAACACAAAGCAAGGCAGACAAACTTGCCTGGAGTTTAGGAAAATTCATCTTAGTTCTGTTGTTGCCAGGATCCTGTAATGTTTCCCAGGAAGGGAGATTAATGCAGCCTACTCAGACATGTTGCTGCAGCAGCGGGGCATGAACAGGAGGTACCTGGGGGCAGCCTCCCTCCCTCACTGAAAGCCTCAGGGGGAATGACACTCCAGCCACAGTAACCTAGTGTCTGTGTCCCATTGAAATCCTGCAGTCTTCTGGATGTTTGAAAAATGGGTTCACCTGGTGCATTGATACCTGTAGAATACCAAAGCATGAAGCATGAAGCAAGTCATCTGTGCTGCTTTGTCAGCGCGTACTGGACAGTCCTGGGAGACCAGAACATTCCACTCTGAATTGCCCCACCCCATTCATGCGTGGAGATGTGACCTTTAAAGAGGTGATTATGGTAGCATCAAGCCATTAGAACAGGCCCTAATCCATTGTGGCTGTGTCTTCAAAAGAATTGAAGCCAGCAGCGGTGGCGCACGCCTTTAATCCCACTCAGGAGAAAGAAGCAGGCAGATCTCTGTGAGTTCTGGAATATCCAGCGCTGCACAGAGAAACCATGTTTCGAAAAACAACCAAAAAAACCCCAAACCAAAATTGTCGATGAGGACATAGGCAGACACAGAGGGTGGGCAAGAGGTCCCAGGAGCCACAGTCTTGCTCACACCCTGATTTCTAGCCTCTAGAAGACAACAGTAGAACATTTTAAGATGCCAAGTCTGTGGCACTTTATTGTGGTGGCCTTAGCAAACAAATACACACTGTACGAATTTTACTGAAGCAAAAAAACAAAAAACAAAAAAAAAAACAGAAAACCAAGAAACAAAACCCAACTGAACTTCAGGAAGTGTGTGTTGGACTTGCCTGTGGGGCTTGATGGCTATGCCATACCTGGGAGTACGGGGAAGCAAGGCTAATGACTGGATATGACAATGGGTGGGGGTGACAGATAAAGTAGTGGGGTCAGGTCTTCACTGCAGAATCTACACAGGGCAAGTGGGGTTAACAGAGGCACTCTTTCAGCTTCGTTGCGTGTTTGATACTTTTCCATAATGGAGCACTTGGGGGTACTCACTGCCGAAATACACCAAACCCCGGCCCCGAGCTATGATTTCTCTCTACAAGGCGGCATCAGGAGAAAGAGTGTTAGGTAAAGGGAACAGTAAATCTGAAGACTCGGTGATCGGAACCAACCATGGGCTCACCTTTCTGCGCTTATTCCCTGTGCAGCAAGATGCTCCTTGTCCTCGTGATGAAGATAGAGTGAGTCTTATAAACACAAGATAAAAGGGCTGGGAAATCCCAGCGCCCCTGCCACGGAGGCAGGTCTCAGTCTGGCTCCTGTGTGGTGGCTGAGGAACTGCTGCTCTGTTCCTGTCCTAGCCCGTGCCCCAATATGCACCGTGTATTGGGGTCACTAAGCTGAGCACATCTGTGAGGACCCTGGTCCTCAGCCTCGGATTCCTGCCCACGGTGTCACCTGAGGACACCAGCCGCGTAGGAATCAGGTGTGCCGCACTGCGGGTGCCTCACTTGTCTTCTGGGGGCATTGCCATTGCTTTCTTTTTTCTTTTTTTTTTTTTGGTTTTACGAGACAGGGTTTCTCTGTATTGTTTTGGAGGCTGTCGGTCCAGCCTGGCCTGGAACTCACAGAGATCCGCCTGCCTCTGCCTCCCGAGTGCTGGGATTAAAGGCGTGCGCCACCACCGCCCGGCTCATTGCTTTCTTTTTTGAGACAGGGTCTCTCTACATGGCACTGGCTGTCCTGGACCTTCTGAAACATTCAGGCGGTCAGACTTGCCTTCCTCTCTTCCAAGTTCTTTTAAAAGTCCTGTTGAAGCGGGGTGGGGGTGGGGTGGCGGCGGTGGCGAGTTCCAGGGCAGTCTGGGCGGTTACACAGAGACCCGGTCTTCTGTTGATACCTCACCAGGGATTACACTGGCTTTGCAAACTGGTGAGGAGTTGCTATGTTTACAATGCTTTCTTTTTCCCTAGGGAGGGCGCTTTCTACTTCAGTCTGAGCTGCTCTGATGTCCTGCAGCCTAACTGTGGAGTTTCCTACCTGTGGCGAAAGATTTTGGCAAGTTTGGTGAGCCGCACCTGCAGATCCTGAGGGTCTGTGCATAGGCTCTCGGCCAGAGCTCTCCACCCTACCCAAACCAGTCCTTGCCAAGTTAGGCTTCGGGGACCCAGGGTTCACCTTAGCCAGGTGCAGCTGGGTCTGAGAGAGCACTCCTGGTCCCTCCCACAACCTGGTCGGCGCGCAGTTCTTTCTTGGTCCAGCCTTAGGGCGTGCTTACTCCCCAGGCTCCTCCCACGACGTCCATCCTCTCCCACAGCCCATTGTCCCAACCGAAGCAGGCCCCACCACGAGCCTGGGACCGACCCTGGACGCTCTCTAGCACCGCCCACAATCCCTTCCCCGGGCTTTGTTTCCGGATGCCCATTCTCATTGCTTCGGCTCTCCCTGGGCTCCGCCCACGGCTCTGTCCTTGGCCTCGGCCCCGCCTTCGGGCTCCTCCCACACTTCTGGGGACTCTTCGCAGATCCCGCCCACAGTCCCAGTCCGGGCCCCGTCACGATAGCCCCGCCCCTGGCCAAGCCCCTGTCACGCTAAGCCCCGCCCATGATCCTGCCCAGGCTCCTCCCACAGCCCCGACTCTCTCCAGGCTCCGCCCACGGCCCTCGTCCCCTCCGCTGGCCGGTAGCCCGCGAGGCCTGCGAGCTCCGGATTTGGAACGTCCCTTGAGGCGGGCCGGAGTGACGGCGGTTCGGTCCCAGCGTCCCGACGACGACTCGTCCTGAGTTCCTTTCTGGGTCCCGCGGCCGGCCGTTGGAAGCGGCGCGGCCCAGACGCGCGTGGCGAATCTGCCAGGACGAATCGGCAGGCGTGGCGCCGGCGGCCTCGCGAGAGTGCGGCTCAGACGGAGGCGGCGAGACGGGGCTTGCGGGCTGAGGGCCGCGGGCGGAGAGCGGGCAGCGGAGCGGCGGGGGGCCGGCCGGGCCCCGCGGCGGCTCCACCATGACGGGCCGCGTCTGCCGCGGCTGCGGCGGCACGGACATCGAGTTGGACGCGGCGCGCGGCGACGCGGTGTGCACGGGCTGCGGCTCGGTGCTCGAGGACAACATCATCGTGTCCGAGGTGCAGTTCGTGGAGAACAGCGGCGGCGGCTCGTCGGCGGTCGGCCAGTTCGTGTCGCTGGACGGTGGGTCCCGCGGGGCGGGGGGCTGGCCAGGGCTGAGGGCGCCGAGTGAGTGGGAAGTCGAGGCCGGCGGGGAACCTGCAGCAGATCGTCCTGCCGAAGGCCGTGGGCAGCCAGGCAGGGAAACTGAGGCAGGGCCCGCCCCGCCGTATCCCGTGCACCGACGCGAGCCCCTCCACGGCCCTCCTGGTCCAAGCGTCGCGATCTGGTCCAACCGAGGCGGCCGGGCTGGGTCCCGGAGCCTGGCAGGCTCGGTTTTCGGGCTCTCATCTGAGGGATGCGCGCTCCGTTCTCCCGGGTGGCCACTCTGACAGGTGTGCATTGCCCTAAGGGCTAAGGAGGAGCCGTGCCCAGCCTGGGTCCTCTGCCCAGCCTCTCTTTTTATTGGGTTGTTGCCTATCCTAACCGTTGCGTGCTGAGAGGATGGTGAGTTTTGTATTTGTGATCCAAGGAGCAGAAGTTACTCATCTTGACCAAAGGCTTTACGTTTTGAAACACTTCAGTTTGTCGTTTCCTTTCTTGGTTGTGTGTGTGTGTGTGTGTGTGTGTGTGTGTGTGTCAGATGAATCTAAAATGTTTGCTTGGGTCACTACATTGGTTTTCTAAAAGTTATTGTTTACGCTTTAACGTAGTTTTGTTTTTATTTTCTGTGCACTGGGGATCTAACCCAGGGCCTCCAGCATACTGAGTGCTCTCTAGTCTTTTGCCAGTGGAAGCCTATGCCACATTTTCAGTTACGCTTTGTGGAAAATGGTGATGTGCAGGCTGAGGTCTCTTTCTCGAATGTGGAGTCGTTTTTCACACAGTTTGGTAAAAGGCTTTCCGTTTTTTGCTTGGAGTTACCGTTATACTAACTTCAGCAGAGATCACCATAGACTCCCATAAGGGTCTGTTTCTGGGTTCTTTTTTTTTTTTTTCCCGCGACAGGGTTTATTTATGGCTTTGGAGGCTGTCCTGGAACTTGCTCTGTAGACCATACTGGTCTCGAACTCACAGAGATCCGCCTGCCTCTGCCTCCCAAGTGCTGGGACTAAAGGCATGCGCTACCAAAGCCTGGCCTGCTTCTGGGTTCTGTTTTGCATACATCCTTACGTTTTGTTTACATTTTAATGCCTTGAGATCTGATATTGTGAGCAATCCAGCTTTTGTCTTCTTTTTTAGAATTGTAGATTTGTAGTCACTTTCCCTTCTGTTGTAGAGTAATTGTGTGTGTGTGTGTGTGTGTGTGCGCGTGCGTGCGTGCATGTATTTATGTATATGGTTCTGGGACGGCAACCCAGTCTTGCTCATGCTAAGCCAGTGCTCTGCTATTGAGCTATATTCCTTGTCATTTTATTTTGAGTCAGGGTTTTGCCAAGTTGTCCAGACAGACATTGAACTTGCAGCCCTCCTGCTTCATTCAGCCTTCTAAGTAGTTGGGATTATAAGCCTGCGCTCCAAGACCTAACTTCTTCTTGTTGCTCTTTTGAGACAAGGTGTCCCTATGTAGAGTACCGGGCCTCAAACTTTGAGCCTGCCTCTGCCTCTCAAGTGCTGGGATTACAAGCATGCACCACCAGGCCCTGCTGTGGCTGAATCTGTGGGCGGCAGGGGCAGTGTGTAGTGTCTGTGTGTGTGTGGGTGTGTTGCACGCATGCATGTGTGGGTGCATGTGTGTGTGGGTGCATGTGTGTGTGGGTGTGTTGCATGCATGCATGCGTGGGTGCGTGTGTGGGTGTAGGTGCATGTCTGTGTGGGTGCATGTGGGTGTGGGTGTGGGTGCATGTCTGTGGGCGCATGTGTGTGTGGGTGTGTTACATGCATGCATGTGTGGGTGCATGTGTGTATGGATGTGTTGCATGCATGCATGTGTGGGTGCATGAGTGAGGAGGCCCATAGTTAGCATCCTTGACAATTCTACACTATTTATTAAGGCAAAGTCTCTTGCTGGACTGGCTACTCTCAACCTCTCTCAGCTTCTCTCAGACTCCCAAGTCCTGGGGTTATAGGTGGCTACCACACCAGACCAGCTTTTGTGTGAGTTCTGGGGCTCTGAACTTTAGTCAGGCTTGCACAGTAAGCATGTAATTTCCTGAACCGTCTCCTCAACCCCTCTGGCAGACTCTTGAATCTGCTGTGAGTCCCAGAAGTAAGTTCACATAGGGTATTGTCCTTTGGATATGCTCGAAGATTTGTGTGCAGTCCTGGTTGTTCTGGTACTCACTCTGTAGACCATGCTGACTTTGAACTCAAGGAGACCAGCCTCCCTCGGCCTCCCAAGTGCTGGTCCAGGTATACTTCTCCAATGTAGCCAGTTGGACTTAGGGTTTTCTTTTCAACTTTTGTCATAGCAGTGGTTGTAGTTACATTTCAGATAGTTTCTGACTTATTTTGGAATTCAGGTTCGAGGAACGGGTCCATCTGGTTGTGGATTGGTGTTCTCAAGCTCCTGTGTGCCCCATCCTGTGCGAATGCCAAGCAAGTGGTCTGCCAGCGAGCATGTCCTAGATATCTGCAAGATGCCCCTTATCCTTGGGTGTTAGCGTCTGTGTTTCCCTTTGTCTGTCTTGCTGGTTTACCAGTTTTGTTGATATTTCCAGAAAAACATTGGCTAGGGGTTGACCTTTCCTTCCCTGTGGTGTGCTTCAGACATCACACAGTTCTTCCTCTTTGTAGGTGACTTCCCAAGGGTGTCTTCAGGACGCTGTGACAGTGGTTCTGCATGTTGTCTACAGCCTCCTAAATAGTCGCCAAGATGCGGATGTCTATTAGAGTGATAACAGCAGTATACAGGTCATTGTGGGAGCAGATGTCTAGGGCTTTCCATGGGAAGGCACTTTTCTCAGTGCACACATGGCTTGGTGACAGTGTTGTTATGCTGACTGTGTCCCTCATAATGTCAGGGAAAATAGTGTGAAGCCAGAGTGGAGTGACATCTTAGCATGCATCTTGGAAATCATGTTCCAAAGCCCTGAGTGAAACTCGGATGGGCTCTTAGGTGACATCAAGATCTCTCTCCAGGGAGAAGCACTCCAGCAACCAGCTGTGGGCGCCCTGGGGAAGGCACTGTGAGGTCATGAATTCTTTCTTTCTTTTTATTTCAAAGTTGGCTGAAGTTTATTTGATAAGTTGGATCATATGAGGATGATAATCAGGGTGGGCAACCAGGCTTGCAACTGAATAATTTTCATTATTAAATGGCTTATCTTAATATATTTCTTTTTTATTCTTATTTAACTTTTTACACATGTTTACTCTCAGTTCCCTCTCCCTCTTCTCCTCCCCCAGAACCCCTAGTCCTCCTAACCCCCACCCCACTCCATCTCCTCTCCGCTCCCCAGGGAGGGTTAGGGCTTCCATGAGGGATTTTCAGAGTCTGTCATATCATCCCGGGCAGGGCCTAGGTCCTCCCCCATGTGTCCAGGCTGAGAGAGCATCCCTCCATGTGGGATGGGCTCCCAGAGGGGTCATGAATTCTTAGGTGCAGGTTATTCAAGAGGGAGGTGTCAGTTGCTTTGAACAGCCATGTGGCTACCTGCCTAGTGCCCCCCCCAAAGCATGACCTCACAGGCAGGAAACATGACTTGTCCCATTTCCTGCCCTCGTAGGTCCCTGATCCTCTTTGCTCAACTTGGCCTTCCTCCACTTCCTAGTAAAGCTGTTTTCTCGTTGGCGACTGTCTTGTACGTTCTAAAACAGCTGTCTCCTTCCTAGGTGTCCTTGCCTACAGCAACCTAAGCTGGACACTTCAGCAGTTTACTCTAGAATACGTGCTTAATATATGAAAGTGAGTGATAAGGGGCAGGAGGCTCCTGGCTATGAAACGTAGCACCTTATGCCTGTGATTAGGTTTTAGAGGCCTCTTCATAGGAGTACTGGGCATCCCGACTGCAGGTTCAGATGCCCGAAGCAAGGCAGCAGGTAGCTGGAGAAGTTGGGATTTGAGTCACACTGTGAGAGTCTGGGTTTACCGTTGTTATGAGCAGGAAAGGCAGGGGCAAAGCAGGTCTCCCACAATGCACACTTCCCAGCATGTGCCATGTCCTCTGAGGCCCTCCTTCCCAAGACCTGAGACTACTCTCAGAATGCTTGTTGCAGAGAGAGCTCCTTCACCAAGCAACCTGTGACTCCTGCCTCCTCAGGGTTCATCCTCCCCTACCCTGGGAGCAGCAAACCTTGTTAGGAGACTGGAAATACTCCCTGAGGTTCCAATAATCAGAATTGCTTATGGTGTTTGAGGTTGGACCCAAGGCCTCATGTGCTGGGCAGATACTTCCCAGCCCACTAATCAGAACTTAACATTTCTATTACATTTATTTATATGTGTATGCAGAATTCAGAGGCTAACTTACAGAAGTTGTTGCTCTCCGTCATGATGGTTCTTAGCCATCAAACTCAGGAGGTCAGACTTGATAGCTGCTGAGCCAGCTCACCTGCCATAGAACCTTTTCTTGTTCTTGTTTTGTTTTTCAAGACAGGGCTTCTCTGTAGTTGCCCTGGAACTCACTCTGTAGCCCAGGCTGAACTCAAACTCATAAATCTGCCTGCCTCTGCCTCCTGAGTGGTAGGATTAAAGGAGTAGGCCACTACCACCATTTTTGTTGTTGTTTTGTTTTTTTGTTCTTTTAAGACAGGGTTTCTCTGTGTAACAGACCTGGATGTCCTGGAACTTACTTTGTAGACCAGGCTGGCCTCAAACTCACTGGAGATCCGCCTGCCTCTGCCTCCTGAGTACTGGGATTAAAGGCGTGCACCATCACCACCCAGCTGGCCTTCCTTCCTTCCTTCCTTCCTTCCTTCCTTCCTTCCTTCCTTCCTTCCTTCCCTCCCTCCCTCCCTCCCTCCCTCCCTCCCTCCCTCCCTCCCTCCCTTCCTTCCTTCTCTTTTTGAGGTGGAGTCTTGCTGTATAACCCAGTCTGGCCTCAGAGTCTCTAGCCTTTGTGTGAAATCAACACAGTTGTAAAGACTATCTGGAGACTCTGAGAAAAACGAAGGATAGTGCTATGAGGAGGCTTTCTGGGCACTGAGGTCTCTTGGTCCTCTCCTAGGTCTAGTGCAGCAGGTGAGGGTGGCATTGTGTGTTCCAGGACACATCCAGTCTGTTTCTACCCATGCTGACTTGGTCCTCTCCTAGGTCTAGTGCAGCAGGTGAGGGTGGCATTGTCTGTTCCAGGGCACATCCAGTCTGTTTCTACCCATGCCGACTTGGGTTCAACCCTCTCTGCCCTTTGCTAAGTCAGACGTTCTTCCCCAAGTGGCCTGTGATTGCATATTCCTTCTCCATTGTCCACGAGGGGGCAGACTCTGCCAAGCCCATCTGTGCTATACTCCAGCCTGTACTTTTTGTTTCAGAAACTCCTCTGAGGAGGAGCAGGAGTGCAGTGGGCATTCGTCTAAAGTGGATGCCATCTCTTTGGGAGTAAGGGTGGGGGAATAAGGGAAATGAGGCAAGGTTTTGCTGTGTATGTCCTATTGGCCTGTAACTCTTGACCTATGTGCCTCAGCCTTCTGATTATAGACACGTACCACCATGCTCAGCCTAGCTAATGCCACCATTCTTTTTTAATGTAACTTAAGTTTTTTAAGATCTTATTTTTATTCTAAATTATGTGTGCATCTGTGTATGTGGGGTGCACACATTAGTAGAGGTGCCCACAGTGGCAGAGGTGTTGGCTTCCCTAGGACCGGAGTCCCTGGTGGCTGAGAACTATGTGACTGGGAACCTATCTTAGCCTCTTTAAGAGCAGTGCTTGCTCTTAACTGCTGGGCCATCTTTCCAGACCCCACGACTGATGTGTATTAAAAGCATATATCCACTTTAATTAGAGCACTAGAGGTTTATTTATAAACTACATTTGTTTATGGGGGTGTTATGGTGAATATGTGGAGAAGATAACTTGTAGAATCAATTCTTCCCATCCTCCATGTGGGTCCCAGTCATGAGGTGTGCAGACAAGAGCTCAGTCACTTCATCAGTCCCTACTTTGTTCTTTTGAAGGTTTGGGATGCCTCTGGCAGAGCAAGGTCTTGGCCTTCGGGGCTTTCTCTGCCAGGCTCTGGCTAACCTGTTTTTTATATTTCCAGGTGCTGGCAAAACCCCAACCCTAGGCGGTGGATTCCATGTGAACTTGGGAAAGGAGTCCAGAGCACAGACGCTACAGAATGGTATTGCCCACTTCAGTGTTGCTGGCCCTGGGGTGGGACGGGGGCGGGAGATGGGACAGGATATGGGTGAGGTCAGAGCTGACCAGTCCTCAGCTGTTACTGCTGCTCTGTGGTGTCCACTCTGCCCCCCCCGTGTGTCACCTGTGTCCTGCTCTGTGGTGTTCACTGTGTCCACCCATGTGCCACCTGTGTCCTGCTGCTTTTTGCTGCCCTCATGGTCCAGGGCCCATCGCTCTGGGAGAATATGTCCTAAGCGTGCTCCCTCTTTTGGTCACTCTCAGCTCTTGCTAGACCCCTCGGTAAAGGGCCCCCAGATGGTGCCAGCCCATAACTGTCTGTTCCTGGTTTCTTGGAGATAGACATAAAACCAGCAAGTCTATAGCATTTGACCTGGCAGAAGTGACATTTCATTGTTTTATAAAAGCATAAGTTCACAACAAAGGAGAGAAATATCTGTTCTGATCCTTTGCTTGTTTTTAATTTAATTAGGTTGTTTGCCTTTATTGAATTGAAGAAGTTCTTTATATATTTTAGGTACAATGTTTATTGTTTTGGTTTTTTGTTTGTTTATTTTTTGGGGGGGGTTTGTTTCTGTTTTTATTTGAGTCAGGGCCTCTATGTAGCACCTTAACTGTCCTGGAAGTCTACATACACCAGGCTGGCCTTAAACTCACAGAGATCCACCTGCCTCTGCCTCCTGAGTACTGGGATTAAGGGCATGCACCCATATACCTGGTTTTAGCTATAAGTCTTAAAAACAATACACACGGGGCTGGAGAGATGGCTCAGAGGTTAAGAGCACTGACTGCTCTTCCAGAGGTCATGAGTTCAATTCCCAGCAACCACGTGGTGGCTCACAACCATCTGTAATGAGATCTGGTGCCCTTTCCTGGCTTGCAGATATACATAGAGGCAGGATGTTGTATTCATAATAAATAAATAAAATCTTTAAAAAATAAAAACAATATACACACTCACTTTATATATGTTTATTTATGTGTGTGTGCTTACCACACACATTTATGGACAGGTTGCAGGAGATGGTTCTCTCCTTCCGTGGTGCAAGTTCTGGAGACAGAACTCAGATCATCCATCTTGGCAGCAAACACCTTTATCCACTGAGCTATCTCACTGCCCTCCTGTGAGTCTTTACCAGACGCGTGTTACAGAGCAATTTCTCCTGTCCCATGAGCTGTCTTCACTCCTTTGCTTTCTTCTTACTTGCTGGTATAAAGTAAAAGATGTATCATACAGTGTATGCACGTGTTTTACCTGCACGCATGTGTGTGCACTGTTAGTGTGTCTGGTATAAAGTAAAAGATGTATCATACAGTGTATGCACGTGTTTTACCTGCACGCATGTGTGTGCACTGTTAGTGTGTCTGGTATAAAGTAAAAGATGTATCATACAGTGTATGCACGTGTTTTACCTGCACGCATGTGTGTGCACTGTTAGTGTGTCTGGTATAAAGTAAAAGATGTATCATACAGTGTATGCACGTGTTTTACCTGCACGCATGTGTGTGCACCATGAGTGTGTCTGGTATAAAGTAAAAGATGTATCATACAGTGTATGCACGTGTTTTACCTGCACGCATGTGTGTGCACTGTTAGTGTGTCTGGTATAAAGTAAAAGATGTATCATACAGTGTATGCACGTGTTTTACCTGCACGCATGTGTGTGCACTGTTAGTGTGTCTGGTATAAAGTAAAAGATGTATCATACAGTGTATGCACGTGTTTTACCTGCACGCATGTGTGTGCACTGTTAGTGTGTCTGGTATAAAGTAAAAGATGTATCATACAGTGTATGCACGTGTTTTACCTGCACGCATGTGTGTGCACTGTTAGTGTGTCTGGTATAAAGTAAAAGATGTATCATACAGTGTATGCACGTGTTTTACCTGCACGCATGTGTGTGCACCATGAGTGTGTCTGGCACCCTGGAAGGTCAGAAGAGGCTTCAGATCTGGGGTGAAAACCTTATAGATCAAAGAAGTGGTGAAGGAGTGACAGCGGACCTTCCCTCCACACTTCCTAGACCAAAAGAGACAAAGAAAAGCCCATGAATCTCCCTCCCACTCCTTTCTGTGCCTCTCCATCCATATCCTGGTTCCTCCGTGTTCTCTATGGCCAGTTCTTACCAGCTGGTCTCTGGCCCTGCCCCCCCCCATTCAACGTTAATTTTATTAGCACAGTTTGAGTTGTCCCAGTGCGATCAGATATCCTGCAACAAGAGCCTTGTATTTCACAAAGCTGGCCTGAAACTCATAGTCCCCTCTGCTTCACCCAGTGCTGGGATTACAAGGCCTGTTCCACCACATCCCTTGAGTGAATTTTAGAGTCTGTTTATAGTTTGTGCCAGGAAATCAGCTGGGGTTTTGAGGGGATTATGTTTTTTTGTTTTGTTTTGTTTTTAATTTTACATACCAGTCCCAGTTTTCCCTCCCATCCTCCTGCTCCTCCCAGTTTTCCTCCCCCCTCCCCCCATCCGTTCCTCAGGGTAAGACTTTCCATAAGGAGTCAAGGAAGTCTACCCATCACCACATTTAGGCGGGACCAAGGCCCTTCCCTCTGTGTCTAGGCTGAGTAAGGTATCTATAGGAAATAGGCTCCAAAAAGTCAGTTCATGCACTAGGGATAGATCCTGTCCAACTGCCAGTGGCCCACAGGCTGCCCAAGCCACATAACTGTCACCTGAATTCAGGGGGCCTAGTTTGGTCCATTGCAGGTTCCCCAGCTGTCAGCCCGTGAGCTCCTGTTAGCTCGGGTCAGCTGTTTCTGTGGGTTTCCCCATCATGGTCTCGATTCCTTTGCTCATATTATCATTCCTCTTGAGGGGATTATCTTAATCTGTAGATCATTGTGGGGAGTGTGGTTGCTTGGATGGTACTAAGTCTTCTGGGGTTGTCCTTTCATTAATCTGAGTTTTTAGAGTCTCAGATTTGGACTTACCTGTTAACTCTCCAGTGGGGAAACTGCCCAGATTCTTCTGGTTGGGTTACATTGAATTTGTAGGTCAAGTTATAGGAGTGTGCTATGATGTTCTTAAAATGTGAACTTGAAGAGTCTTCTTATTTTAGCAGCCTCAGGCTGTGAGCAGACATTGTTGGTCATTGCTTCCTGCCTCTATTTTTACTTATTCTCAAAGCTCTCTGCATTGTTTTCATATGTTGCTGGCTTCCCAGAACTGCTGAGATGGGGTCAGCTTGATTCATCACTGACCTTGGTGTATGTGGAGCAGTGTTTTGCTCTTAGGAATGATGTCACTAAGTGTGTCATTTGCTGTTTTGTATCTACTCAGTGATCGTATGGATTTTCTTTGTGGGGTGAGGGCTTGGGAATAGAGCTAGCCTTGAGCAGGGGGCCCTAGAGAAGAGCTATCTTAGCTGCATTGTGGAATTTCCCAACACTGGGTAACTAGTGGGTCTCAGCCCCCAGCTCTGTAGTCTTCTGTGTACAGACTGTACTGTTACTGTCAGCTTCTGGGCCCAGAGTAACCTGCTCTGCCTCTCTCTGGTGTGCTCCTACTGTGTGCTAGTAGAGGAGCCAATTTTTATACAGTCGGTCAAGAGTTGGCCTTGCCCTGAAATGGGCTGTTGTTATTGTTGGCTGTGAGTAGTGTGCTAGCCCTCAGTCCTTATCAAAGAATCAGAGAAGCCAGTATCTAACATTTTGTGGATGCTGTAGAGGTTGTCTGCAGTTTCAGAGGAGGAATGGGGTTGGGTCCTGAAGATGCTAGTGGGACTGGACGTCTCTGGTGACATTTCTTGCCATCCACAAGTCCTCTGCATACCCTAGGGTGTGTCTAGTGTCTGGAGGGCCCGCTCTGGCCCTGGTGCTCACCGTAGGTCGCACTGACAGTCAGTGTCCGCAGCCCTCCCACAGATCTACACCACTGGACTTTGGGAGGTCTTTGTTCTGTGTTTACACACATAGGTGGAAAGCCTGAGTCTCCTGCCTACGGCACAGAGCATCTACACAGACACAGTCTCCTGGCTACAGGTGCTTCTGCAGACCCTAGAGGGGCCTGGCACCCTCAGACCTCCTGGTAGTGTGCCTGACTTTGCCATTGCTCCTCCTTTTGCAGGTGCGCAGCTGGCTCTTGGAGGGAAGCCTGGCCAGGGGTTGTTCCGGCCTGGACTAGGCAAAGAGGCCATTCTGGGAAGGATCAGGCAGATGGCTTGAGTTTTGTGCTGTTAGGACAGAGGTGGTGCTTGACACATAGTTGTAGGAGACCCATTCCTTCCAGACACTCCAAGCCATAGGAGTCTCCAGAGGAGGCATGACCACTGTATGTGTACTGCTCCAAGCTACGTCTATCACTGTCTACCATCTATCGATCTTCATTCATTCATTACCAAGTATTGAACCTAAGGCCTTATGTGTTCTAAGCAAGTTCTCTAACACTGAGCTCCAGCTCCAACCCTCATTTTACTTAAAAAAAAAACTTATTTCATGAATATGGATGTTTTGCTTGCAAGTATGTCTGTGTACCATGTGAATGCTGATAATCAAATCTGGGTTATATGGAGGAACAGCCAATACTCTGAGCCTCTAAGTCATCTCTTCAGCCTAGTTTTACTTTTTTTTTTTTTTTTTTAATGTGACAGGGTTTCTTTGTGTAGGTTTGGCTGTCCTGGAACTCGCTCTGTAGACCAGGCTGGCCTTGAACTCAAAGAGATCCACCTGCCTCTGTCTCCTGAGTAATTAAAGGCATGCACCACCACTGCCCAGCCTGTTTACTTTGCAAGAGGTGGTCTCACCAAGTTTCCCAGGCTGGCTTTGAACTCATCCTATAGCCTAGGCTGGTCCTATTTGTTTGTTTGTTTGTTCGTTTGTTCAAGACAGGGTCTCTAAGTTAGCACCAACTGTCCTAGAACTCACTGTGCAGACCAAGCAGGCTTCAGACTCAGAGATCTGCCTGCCTCTGCTAAGATTAAAGGCATGTGCCATCATGCCTGGCCCAGGCTGGTCTTGAAATTGTGATCTTCTTGCCTCAGTCTCCCAAGTAGGTCAAATTACATGTCTACACTAACAGGCTTTGTTCAAGTCTTGAATCGTAAGATGCCTTGTGATACTTAATTTTAAATTGAAAGTTGTGACAGGGTCATTCTATATTCTATTCTAGGTCGGCGCCACATCCACCACTTGGGGAGCCAGCTGCAGCTGAACCAGCACTGCCTGGACACAGCCTTCAACTTCTTCAAGATGGCTGTAAGCAAGCATCTGACCCGAGGGCGGAAGATGGCCCATGTGATTGCTGCCTGCCTCTACTTGGTCTGCCGAACTGAAGGCACACCTCGTATCCTTTGTTGTGGAAGCCCCATTTTGGTTCTTGGGTGATCACTCAGATGTTGACTCAGGAGTGCAGAAGTTTGGTATTGGTTGGTGTTACCAACAGTTCCCTTATTGGATGTCTGTTCTCAGCTAGTGCAGGGCTCCCTCTCTAAGCTACCATCTTAGTTAGGGTTTCTGTTGCTGTGAAGAGACATCATAACCACAATAACTCTTCAAAAGGGAAACATTTAATTGGGGATGGCTACAGTTCAGAGGTTTAGTCCATTACCATCATGGCAGGGAGCATGGTGGCACACAGACCAGGCAGACATGGTGCTTGAAAGGTAGCTGGGAGTTCTACATCTGGACTGGCAGGCAGCAGGAAGAGAGAGTGACCCTGAGCCTGGCTTGCGGTTCTGAAATCTCAAAGCCCACCCCCAGTGATGCACTTCCTCCAGAAAGGCCATGCCTATTCTAACAAGGCGACACCTCCAGTAGTGCCACTCCCTGAATCTATGGGGGCCATTTTCATTCAAACCACTCAGCTGCCAAGGTGGGTGTAGTCAGGCTGCTCTGTTAAGTCCCTGCCACTTTCGGATGGCGGAGGAGGAGGATGAGGAGAGCTTACTACTTTGGGCTTTCCCTAGCCCCCCTTTTGCAGCTTGGTTTCTTGAGGTTCCAGGCCTGGTTCCCCTGTACACTTCCCAGGCACCTGCACTAGGCTCTGTGGGCAGCACACACAGCAGGAATTGCATCTTTTGTCCTGCAGAATCTTCTGTCAGCGTCTATGTCCAACTTCCTGTGGTGCCATCTGCTGTACACCCTGTCATATATGCACTGCGTCGTACAGCTTCTTCTCTCCGTCATCCAGGGACCTCGGTGTGCTGCTGTCTATCTAAGCACTAGGCGTCTTCTCTGGTAGATCCCTCCCTCTGGCCACCTCCCACCTTGAACTTGTTAGGTCACTTGGTTCCTGCTTGTTCTTATTTTGTTCACTCTTCCTGGTCCACCAGGCTTTTAAGAAATCACTGCTTCCTTTCCATCCAACTGTTCACCTTTTTGGCTTGAGGCAGTTCCTAGACTTTATCTCTAACCCAGTCCTTGTGTTTTGTACATAGGGAGGGGTGGGGAGCACATGTGCTACATGCATATGTGGGGTGAAGAGGATCACTTGTGAGATTCAGATCTCTTCTACCATGTAAGTCCAGGGATGAAATTCAGGTGTCGGGTTTGGTGGAGGCACCTTTACCCACCGAATTGGCCTCTTCCCTAGGTTTTTTGAGATGGATCTCTCACTGAAGCTACTTTCCTGTCCTCTGTGCTCTGCTCTGCAGAGCAGCAAATGACCTCAGGGATAGAAGAGCAGTGGTCCCTGGCTTTCCTACTTCAGCTGGCACAGCTGACCTTGGCAGGAGGGAGAACCTCTGTCAGACTGAGCAGATGATTAAATTGTGCTTGGGATGCTGTCCCCTGAGCCATCGAGATGCTAGTCTGCACAGATGTACCTAGAAGCCCAGAACTTAAAAAAGTGTGAGGGTTGCTGCCTTGGCAAGTGACTGCGCTGTCTTCAGGACCATCTCCAAAGGTCTGAGCACAGAGTGGTCTCCTGCGGCTCCCACCTAAGTCCTGCACCCACTTCAGTAGTTGGGAGAGGAGAGGCAAGTATCAGAAGCGCATCTGAGTGGGAGCCAACTCAGGCTCTGCTGCACCACTGCTGCTAAGGCGTAGACCATAGGACGGAGCAGGCAGAAGCAGGTGCGTGGCATCTCTGGATCTGGCGGGAGGAGGCTCAGTCATCAAGGCAGAGGCTTCGAGGAGGTATGTTGGCAGTAGCAGGCTGTACAGATATTCTGGTAGAGTAATGCTGATGTGTCGCAGTGACATGCTGTACAGATGCTCTGATAGGATGATGTTGATGTGTCGCAGTGACACACTGTACAGATGCTCGCTGGGATGATGTTGATGTGTCAGTTGTCTAAGATATGTCACACACAGAGAGAAACTCAGTCGCAGGCAGGCACAGGAGGTTGCTGGAGCAGCGAGAGGCCAGTCCTCCAGGGGGTGGAGTGAGGAAGCTCCCCAGCAGGCCCTGAGCCATCAGACACCATTCAGAGCATCTGCTCCGTTATTGTCTCTGGATAGCGTCCTGAGGCCTGGGGAAACTCAAGCCCTTCTAGGCCCTGTTCAGTCCATAGAGTGGGCCTGGGCAGCTGGGAAGACTGTCCTTGCCCCTCTAGCTCCTGTTTCAGGAAGACAGACATGAAAGCTCTGAGCTGTGATCCTGCTTCTGTTTCGTGGTCCCGGTGCAGGGGCCCAGGACAGTATGCACTGGGAGCCTGTCATCAGGAGCTGTAGGCCCTGACCATCTGGGTTTTAATCCTGCCTCTGCCCCAGAGTTTGGTAATCTTGGTTCTTAGTCTGTTACCTTTTCAGGGAAATAGGGAAGGGAAAGCCTATGCCTCCATGTCATCACGCTGTCAGAGAGCAGGCCTCAGGATTCTGTCTGTAGACAGCAGAGAGCAGGTATCAGTTCTGCGTAGACAAGTATTAGTGCTGTGCAGAAAGTGGGTGCCAGGGTGGACGAATGTACCAGGGGTATATAGGGAGCCAGCACAGCCTTCTGTAGACAGCAGGTGTCAGTGTGTAGGCAATGGGTTTCAGGGTGTGTAGAGAACAGAAAGCAAATGCCACTGAGATAGTAGGTGTTGCTGTTGTCCACCGCGTAGACCTCCGTGTTGTTAGTAGGCAGCAGGTGTTGAGAGCCCTGTGGGGTTGCTCATCTTGGTTGCAGACGGGGAGGTGAGGTTGGCTTCCTGCATGCTCAGTGCCTTGCATCCTAAGGGCTCCTGCTCTAGAGGTGCTGTGGCTGGGCTGAGAAGACAGTACTGGACGGTACTGGACGGTACTGTCCAGGGAAGTCAGTCAGAGCAAGAGGGTCCAGCGGTGTGAGAAGGGGTCTATGATGAGTGCTAGGCCAGATTTTCTTCTCAGCAGCTTTTCTTCTCTTCTTAGGGTCCTGTAATGGCAGGGTTAGTTGGATGGTTTCCCACTGACCCATTCATCTGCTGGACACAGATTTTTTTTTGTCAGATTGCACATAGAAGGGCCATTTCTCCTGTTTCTGTTTTTGGATATTTATAGAAACATTTCATATGTGAGGCTGTATAAACAAATTTCATAGCTGGGCCTGGAGATACAGCTTCATGAGAGGCTGAGGCAAGGGGATCTCAAGGTTACTCATGGTCAGCCTGAACTTTAGCATGAGTTCAAGAATAGTCTGTATGTCCTAATCAGGCTTTCTATGGCTGTGACCCAATATCATGACTTTTTGCAAGTTGGGGAGGAAAAGGTTTATTAGGCTTACACTTGAGAGTGCTGTTCATCACTGAAGGAAGTCAGGACAGGAACTCAAACAGGGCAGGAACCTGGAGGCAGGAGCTGATGCAGAGGCCATGGAGGGGAGCTGCTCACTGGCTTCTTCCCCATGGCTTGCTAGCCCACCTTCTTACAGAAACCAGGACCATCAGCCAAATGATGGCACCACCCACCGTGGGCTGGGCCCTCCCCCATTGATCACTAATTGAGAGAACGCCTGACAGCTGGATCTCATGGAGGCGTTTCATCAGCTGAGGCCCCTTCCTCCGATGACTCTAGCGTGTGTCAAGTTGATAGACAAAGCCAGACAGTACCGTAGCTCAAATTAAAAGACACAGGGAATAAGTTAAGGATTTAGCTTTGTGGTTGAGAGCTGTATGTGCCAGATCCCAGGTCCAAGCTTCCATGCTAAAAGGAAGATCCTGAGGAATAGAAAGAAAAAATTAATTCCCTGTTTGTTCTAGCTCTGCTTCATTTAAATCTCCAAACTTCAACCCTATGGAGAATCTCAGTTTGAATCAGATCTTGTCTGCAAATGTTTTTCCACCAAGCACAGCCAGTCAGATGTTTTGGTTGGCCATTAGCCTGCTGTTTACAGAGCAACTGATCCTGACCCCCAGCACTGACTGCATTGGGGCCAGGTTGCTGTGGTGGCATTTTCAGACTTTGTCAAAGCTATGGATGGCCTGAGGGAGCCTCAGGCCTCTTCCAGCTCTCCGGAAAGTCCAGCCTCTAGCAGATTTTCATTTCCCAGTCTTTGCTGTGGTTATGTTTCTCCTTAACTGGAGCTGGAGGCTTGCTGAGCACAGTGCCACCTGTCAGCACAGCCAGGGCACAGCTGGGCCACAGAGTGGTTCTGCCCTTTGGAATTTGGGTTCTTGCATGCTGGTGGCTTTGGTCAGACCCTGACTTTTCTCTTGATCTTTATGAAACTCCAGCACCTATGTTAGAATCAGAGGTTATCAAAAGAGGGCTGGGAGGATGTAGTTCCTCTAGTCATTATTTGGAGGACCTTCATATATCCTTCCTGCCAGCTGGGCGAGTTTTCATAACAAGGAAAGCAGTCACTTTGGTTGACAGTTGAATCCTAGTCCGCTTTAAAATGATATAAAATTTCCCCATAGCTCTACTGTGAATGGTCTGCAGACATCACTCTCCCATGAACAGTTTGTGGTCCTTGCTCCACCCCAGCCACCTTCTCCTCCCATCAGCTCTCTGTTCTTAGCATCTTACTTTGACACCGTTCAAAGCAAGCAGTAGGGCTGCCCATGCCACTGCCCCAGTCTTGCAAACGAACAAGATTAGATCTGGAAGCGAAACCACAAAACACAAAGCATAGGTCTTCCTTTACTACTTGGCAAGTCCTGAGAAATTTATACACTTGTCTGCCGACAGTTCAGTCAGACCCTGACCCTGCAGCCCCCAAGGTGCCGTCATTCTTCCTGTCCTAAAGCTGTAGACTGTCACCTTATTCTGGATGTGCGTTAGTACAGGCACACGACCTCGGCTCTTTGCTGCATTGTTATGTGCTTCCCCACTGTAGCCACTCTATGTATAAGACAGTGTTTGCCTTCTGATGTCGGATCCCTGGGTTGGTCCTAGTGGGAGGCCATGTTGAATGAAGTTGCTGCAAGTGTGCCTGTGCGTGTCTTTTGTGGGTGATTTTGTCTGTCTCGGGTAAATGCACCAGACTAGAATAGCTTGGTTAGAGGTGGGCCTGTACTTGGTCTTATAAGAAACCCTCAGACTGTCCCCAGTGGCTGTGCCACGTCAGTCTGTGGGTAGTGTAGGGGCTAAGGCTGTCTCTACCCTTGCTAGCATTTGGTGTTGAGTGCCCTGGGTGGGTTTCTAGGACTCCTCGTGCAGTAATGCTCTTCTCATGTGTGCTTGAGCTATTTATCTCTTTGTGAAATTTTTGCTCACAAGCCTTGCCTGTGTTTTGGTCTCTATTTTATTACCTTACATAATTATGTGTATTTAAAAATGTATTATCTGTGTATCTCTGTGTGTGTACATAGGCACGTGTGTCACTTGGACATTGTGGAGTTTGGAGAACAACTTTAAGAAGTCAATTTCCAGCCAGGCCTTTAATCCCAGCACTTGGGAGGCAGAGGCAGGCGAATTTCTATGAGTTTGAGGCCAGCCTGGTCTACAAAACTACACAGAGAAACCCTGTCTCAAAAAAACAAAATACACAAGCAAACACACACAAAAGAAGTCACTTTCCATCTTTCACCACGGGCCCCTAAGGCCACTCGGGGTTTTCAGGCTTGCATAGCACATGTCTTTGCCAGCTGAGCCATCTAAACGCTCCTCCCCACTTACCTTGTTGAGATGGACTGTCTTCCCTAGGCTGGTCCTGAACTAGAGTTTAAGTGATCTTGCTTCAGCTTTTTTAATTTTTGTTTTTGTTTGAGACTATCTCTGTAGACCAAACTGGCCTTTAACTCACAGAGATCCACCTGCCTTTTCCTCCTAAGTGCCAGGATTAAAGGCGTGCGCTACCGTGCCTGGCCTGTTTATTATTTTATTAATTATTTTGAGATTTTATATTTGTATGTGCCCTGTCTGTATATATGTCTGCACCATATACATGCAGTGCATGGAACCTGAGTTATAGGTGATTGGTAGCTGCCCTGTGGGTATTGAGAGCCGAACCCAGGTCCTCTTGAAGAACAGTAAGTGCTCTTAACTACCGAGTCATTGATCCAGTACCATCAGACAAACATCCTGTTATTTTATATCTTTTTTTTCTTTTGGTTTTTTTGAGACAGGGTTTCTCTGTGTAGCCCTGACTGTTCTAGAACTCATTCTGTAACCAGGCTGTCCTGGAACTCACAGAGATTCCATCTGCCTCTGCCTCTGCCTCCCCAGTCCTGGAATTAAAGGGGTGTACCACACTGCCCGGCTACAGCAACTGCTCTTAGCCACTGAGCCCTCTCTGCAGCCTGTGTAATCTTTTATGTATAGCACTGAGGAGGGATACGGTGCCTTGTGCGTGTTGAGCAAGTGTACCACTGGGCTGCGCCTATAGCCAGTAGCTTACCTCGACTGACAAGTGACTTGTTTTTTATTTTGTCTGGGCGCCATCTGAGTTTGCACTCATCTGAGATCTGTTGTTGTTGCTGTCTATGTCACACTCATGCAAGGATAGGTCTCACACCAGAGCCCCCTGGCAGTGTTTGGTAGGTACCCATCCCCTTGCTATGACATCTATGTCTGGCCCCCAGTTTGTGCCTAAGGGATAGATAGAGCTGAAGTGTGGTGGCCCATTTCCATGCTGTGTCTGGACAGAAGACATTGTACAGTAGATATCTGAAGCCCGTTTCTCGTTTCCCTGACCTTTTCCCCTATTCCTGTAACTGTGTCCTTAAAGTAGATTCCTAGAGCTCTCCCTCAGTGCCTGGAGAGACATGGGGACTGGTTAGGTTCCACCAGGGCCTTTTCCTGTCTGGTCTGACAGATGAGGTCCAGCTCCCTGGGTGTGCAGCCCTGGTAGCCTCCATGCAAACACTCCTTAACTCTGGCTGCAGACATGCTTCTCGACCTCAGCGACCTGCTCCAGGTAGATCACTTTCCTTCAGTCTTTCTTCCCTGAGTGTGTTACAGGACCACAGCTGGTGCTTCTGTATCCCTGGAGGCCAGTTTGTGCCGCCTGCCTCAGTAGGAGAGGGCGGCTCACAGCCACGGTGTTATCCAGGGCCTGGTGGCTTTGCCTTAGAGTCACTTGAGAGACCCTGGTGAAACTTAGTTTAAGGCAAAGAAGATTCTTTTAAAGGAATATTGGACCCCATTGCATGCATTTCAAACCCTGGAAAACTCTCATAGGTACAGTCTATTTAGGGTCATTAGCTTTTTGGATTCAGATTGTGTGGTTTTTTTTTTGTTTTGTTTTGTTTTTTGCATTGCTTGTTTTTGTTTGTTTTTAAGACCAGGTCTCATGTAGCCCCTGCAAGCCTGGAACTCAGAGATCTGCCTGCCCCTGCCATGCTGGGATTAAAGGCGTGCATGCACTGTTCACTTCTAAGTAGTTGAGCATCATGAGAAGATGCACCTAGGTGCCCTCAAAGGCGGTGAAGGAGAGAGGGACGTGGAGACTGCACTGTTGCCCCACTGATGGTGCTGTGCACGGCAGCTGGGTGGAGGCCAACTGAAGTCCCCAGACTACTCCCCGAGGGAGCCCTGAGTGGAAACCCTGATCTAGGTACCCCAAGGATCCTGAGAGCCCATAGCCAGGCAACTGCTCCTGGTTGCTCATCCTCAGTGCCCCTGAAGACTAACAGATTCCAGTCACATGGTGCCTTGTATTTTTGTCCTCCCAGCTGTCTTTATAAATGGCATCTCTCAGCAGCTATTGCTGAGATACTTTTTGGTCAAGCTAAAAATAACCTGCTGGAATTGTGATAGCCCATCGACTCCACCTTTGAATGCATTGTGCTCAGTTCAGAGCATGACCACGTTACTGTTTCCAGCCTCCCAGAAAAGATGGGGCCGGGCCAGGCAGTGCCAGAAGTAGCTTGGACAGCTCTTAGAGGAAAACAGGTGCACCAGTCATCTGGTTTCACAGCTCTGGAAGTGGGAAGACAGCCCAGCCTGTCAGGATAGAAGGCGGCATGCCACCAGGAAAGGCTGAGGTCTGGCCAGCTGTGCGGTCTGGGTGGTTGCAGACCACTCTTCTTGGTAGTGCTGTGCTGGCAACGTGGAGTGGCAGAGGACCTGCAGGTGAGGGCCATGCGAGGCTGTCCCTGTCCCTGCCCAGAACATCTACAGTTTGTCCTTTTGTTCTCCAAGATTCCCCTGGCCTGACCTGAAGACAAGACAGTTTTGCTCTTATCTGGGTGGGGTTCATGCCAGGTCAGTGAAGGCCCTGGGTGGAGCCAGCTACTATGCAGGAGCCAGAGTAGAATTGCCAGAGATCCCAATTAATTAATTAATTAATGTTTTTCAAGACAGGGTTTCTTTTTGGCTTTGGAGTCTGTCTTGGAACTAACTCGCTCTTGTAGACCAGGCTGGTTTCGAACTCACAGAGATCCGCCTGCCTCTGCCTCCCGAATGCTGGGATTAAAGGTGTACGCCACCAATGCCTGGCTCAGAGACCTTGAATTTAAAGCCTTATTTTTTTCCCGACTCACATATATGCCAAAGGCAGATAGCCATCAGCCACAGGCACAGGAGAGTGAATTGTGTGTGTGATAATGTCTAACAGTACCTACCAATATTAGTATGCCTAGAAGCCAGGTACTGTAGTACACACTTGTAGTCCCAGATGCTTAAAGACTGTCTCTAGAAAGTATTCTTTAATTTTTTTTCTTTTAGATTTATTTGTGTGAGCATTTGCCTGTATGTATGCATGTGGACCACCTGTGTCACTGGTACCTACAGAAGCCAGAAGAGGGTGTTAGATCCTCTAGAACTGGGGTTAGCGATGGTTGTGAGCCACCATGTGTGTTGGGAACCAAACCCAAGGCCTCTGCATGCGAAGCAAATGTTCTTTACCATTGAGCCATCTCTCCATCCCCTGGAAAGTGTTAAAACTTTGAATTTACACGTGAAATCTATCAGTCTCTTTCTGTAGCAATCAGGTCTCATCGTCAGACATATCCATCTGGAACCCAAGGTTAAGATAGTGAAGGAGTTTGAAGTGGGTTAGATGGAGGTCAGGGCCAGCTTTGGCCACACAGCTGGAGTGGGGACCTGGATGTCTGTGGGAGCCTGAGAGGATGCTGCAGGAACAGAGTACTCCTAGAGGAGCACACTTAATTGCATATTTGAGCACAGGCTATCTACCATAGGACCTGTGCATATGATTACATCATACACTCCCAGGTTTCCATACATACATGAATACTCACATAGGCCATATAGTCATGCACACCATAGTTTTAAAGATGACCCTTGAAACTGCAGGAAGGCAGAATTACTTCAGGAAGTGCCCTCTGAGCCACCAGTCCTTATGTAGACCTCAGGAAGGTACTTGTGTCCAGCCAGGGTGGAAGGTGACCACCCCACTGCTGATGGGCTATGGTAGCTGACCCTGACCTTTTCAACTGGGTGGACTCACTAAATTGATGTCATAATTCTCTCCTCCTAGTCCTGCATGTAAGGAAGACCCCATTGTGTACCATCCCTTAGACTTTGTCTCTTGATGTATGTCAATATCTAGGGGGTATCACCTTCATGCCAAGAAAGGAGGTTTAGAGAGGGCCCACAGGCTAGGCTTGACGAGGTGAGGGCGTTCTTTCAGGAGGCCAGAGGCTGAGGGCTGGACCAGTCATATCTGTGAGTCCCAGGAGTGGCCTGACTTGAGTGTGTGGGGTTTTCAGGGAGCTGAGGATGGGAGGAGCCTCTATCTAGCGTTGGGGCAGGCCTGAGTGCCCAGGCTAACCCACACAGTGCTGCACTAAGGTGCTCAACTGCACACTAGGGGTACTGTACACTGGTTAAACCTTTGCTTTCCTGACAACGGATAGTGCTCCTACCACTCCAGCCTTGGCACAGCCTTCCAGGATGGACTCACCCCCACTGCTTACCTCCTCTGGCAAAGAAGAGCTGTGGCAGGTGGCCAATAGGCCACATGGCCGATAAGGACTTGAGGTGAGGGTAGTGGAGGAAACATTGGGGATTCCAGGAAGGAGGCAGATCTCTGGGACTGTAAGGTCGAGGAAGAGCGGCCATTGTGTTGTATACCAGTCTTGTGTGGTTCACAGTTAGCATAACTGTACTGTGTTATCACCATACTCTAGCGGGCACCCTCAAAGGACTTTTCTAAGCAACCATTGACAGGATTAGGGGAGTCTGGGCAGCCCAACAGAGGAAGGCTGGTCCTCCTTGTGGAGACCAGCAAAGGCATGGAGTGGATTTTCCACAGTCCAGCAGGGATCTCTGGCAATGGGGTCTTCCAAGACTCTACAGCGAAACAGGCACATTAAAACAGCAGCTGAGCTGGGTGTGGTGGCGCATGCCTTTACCCAGCACTTGGGAGGCAGAGGCAGGCGGATCTCTGAGTTTGAGGCCAGCCTGGTCCACAGAGCAAGTTTGAGGATAGCCAGGGCTACACAGAGAAACCCTGTCTAGAAAACAAAACAAAAAACCAAACAAAAATTACTGAAAAAGAAAAAAAGCAGGGAATGTTTTCTTGAATCCCAGTGCATTCCTAGCTGTGTTCTTTTGTCACAGGTGAACGTGTACGTGCTGGGGAAGACATTCCTGCTCTTGGCGAGGGAGCTCTGCATCAATGCACCGGCTATAGGTAGGCGGGGCTGAGGTAAAACCACCTTGTTCAGAGTAGAGGAACGTCAGGTCAAAGTACAGAACCCCAAAGTGAAGAATGTCTGCTAGAAGTTGTGGGACATACGGTCAGTGGGGTTTATTTCTGGTGCAAACTCAGGAGGCTGCCTGTCAGTGTTCGTCAAACGTGGCTCAGGACCAAAGGGAAGAGTATGATGCATTGCATCGGGCTGGGAACCTAGCAGGTGCCATGGGAAAGGCGGGGGCCCTCTAGCCATGGCTCTTCCCATATGCAAGGATGGGTTTTCATGGTTTCTGAAATATCAACTCATGGTTAGGAGGCACTACTGGGGGCTAGAACAGAGGGCCTGGGAGGATAGGGTTGAGTCCTAACAGAGCCAGGCTTCTGGTGTTAGGCACACTGGGCTAGGACACAAGCTCCCCAGAGATCGCTGCCTGCTAGGGGGCCTTGGAAGGCCGGGTGCTTTTCCTGGACAAAACATCTGCAAGGGAGGACAGAAGCCTGGGCCTAGGGATCCCTCTTTACCCACACACCCCACAGCCCGTTCCTTAAATCTGACCGCTACAGTCAACCCTGTAACAAACACAATCACCCAGGTATGGGGCCTTCTGCAGAATTGTAGCTACAGCTCCTAAGAGGAAGATAGCCCACATGCCACACGGGCCTAGATGGGCTCCTTTGAGATGGGGTTTGGTTCTAACTGCTCTGCACTGCAGACTTCATACAGACAAGATGTTCTTGTCAGAATGAGAGAGAATGCCCCAGTCCCTTATCTGCATGTGGCTTTTGTGAAAAGTCACTTAAATAGGATGGAACTGTTCTAAGTGACTTTTCAGCAGCTTGTGGCTTGAATGGAAGGAAGGCCTCAAGGTCAGCTGGAGCCACTTAGATTCCAAGGGCCCTAAACCTGGGTGCCACTGAGCAGGGGCCTGTCCTCCATCTGTGGAGTACCATCTTGGGGTCGGGGATACCTGCCCTCCATCTGTGGAGTACCATCTTGGGGTCGGGGATACCTGTCCTCCATCTGTGGAGTACCATCTTGGGGTCGGGGATACCTGTCCTCCATCTGTGGAGTACCATCTTGGGGTCTGGGATACCTGTCCTCCATCTGTGGAGTACCATCTTGGGGTCTGGGATACCTGTCCTCCATCTGTGGAGTACCATCTTGGGGTCGGGGATACCTGCCCTCCATCTGTGGAGTACCATCTTGGGGTCGGGGATACCTGTCCTCCATCTGTGGAGTACCATCTTGGGGTCTGGGATACCTGCCCTCCATCTGTGGAGTACCATCTTGGGGTCGGGGATACCTGCCCTCCATCTGTGGAGTACCATCTTGGGGTCGGGGATACCTGTCCTCCATCTGTGGAGTACCATCTTGGGGTCGGGGATACCTGTTCTCCATCTGTGGAGTACCATCTTGGGGTCGGGGATACCTGTCCTCCATCTGTGGAGTACCATCTTGGGGTTGGGGATACCTGCAGTTCAGTTCTAGGTCTGGCTGCAGAGAGAAGTTATCTGCTTCAGACTCGGGCTGATGGTGTAAGCCAGGCCTTTAATGGTCTCAGTAGGCAGTGTCCTGCACCCCCACTGCACTCGCTGGGCAGACTCCACGGCAAGTCCACCCCAACCACTACACCTCACGCGTAGAAGATGAGCTCTGGAATCTGCCCACCCTGGACTCCAGTCCCGTTGGTACTGTCCGAGGAGCACTGGAACTGGAAGGCCACCTTCCCACATTGCACTTCTGTCATTCCTTCCTGCCCAAAGTAGCTGAGCTCACTGCCATCCAGGACAGCACTGGCAGTGTAGAACGTGTCCTGCTCCACCTGGACAGGATGCTCAAACCAGACTGGGAATGTGTTGCTGGATCCATCTGAAACGAACTTGGTGAGATTCTGAGCCAGGACCATCCCTAGCCGTTTGAGTTCAATCTTCACGCTGTACTCAGCCTTCCCAGAACTGGACCCATACAAGCCCAGTCCAGCAATGAACACCCTTCTGTCCACTGCAAACTGGATGCTGTCACAGCGCCCACGGTACCTCCACTGGTTACTTCGGTAGGCAGAAGACTGGAAGCGGTGGCACCTCTGTGGAGCAAGGCCCTTCCTCTTGGTCAGGGGGAAGTCAAGGAGCGGCTTGTTGGCCGCGGTGTACCAGAGGAAGATATTGTGGGTCTCCTCCAAGGTCAGGATATCTGACTGGGCAGCTCCGTTGGCAAACTCCTCTAGTGTCATAGTTGGAATTCGTACTAGATACAGGGCTCTTCCCAAAACGTGCCTCTTGTTGTGAGGGGTGATGGGCAGGCCCTGTCTCTTGCACTCTGCCTCAGCCCAGTTCAGGACTGCCTCAAAGACCACAGCCTCTTTGGTGTTGAGGGCCTCCCTGGTCACAATGATCTCCAAGGTCTGCCGGTCAATTTCACAGAAGCCTTCAGACCTCAGAGCCATCTCAGCCTGTGCATCGATGACTTCCCAGCAGCGCTGCGTCAGTTCAGGCTCCTCAAACAGTCGGCTCTGGGATAGCAGCACACAGGCATTCTTGGCTTCCAGGCTTGTCTCCAGAAAGGTGACACAGGCCTTGGCTAAGGCAGGCACAATGTACTTCTTAGCAGCATACAGAGTGGCGAGCACTGTGTCCGCCTCCAGATCAATCTCATCGCTGTACATGTACCTGGGTAAGGCAGGGACTCTTCTGGGGAGCTGCACAGGCTGGCCTCAGAGAGGAGCTCATGGGCTCCCAGGCACACCCGCTCGGGACATAGGAAACATGTAGGGGACCACTGGAAGGTAACCACCCCATCCTTCCAGCCCCGGAGTACAGCACTTACTTTAACAAGACCAGGAAGGCTGCAGGCTCGACGTCAGGAATGTGGATTTCTGACTTGACTTCCGCAAGGTCCCCATAGAACATGGCATAGAAGACAGAGCTGCCGACAGCCAAGACGTACTGTGGATAAAACAAAGTCACCTGAACTACAGGGTTGTAAGGAAGATCCTGGGAGACTGCGTCTAGGCAGGCCCACCAGGGGACAGGGTTGCGCCCCTACCCACCTTGTGGGCGGGCACGCGCCTGGCTGCCCCCAGGGCCCCCACGATGAAGTGGACGTCGGCCATCAGCTCGTTGTTGAACATGAGCGCATTCCTGCAAAGGGGAGAGGCACACGGGCTGGAACGGCGCGCGCCTGGGCTCCAGAGCCCGGGGGCGGGCGGCGGCTCACCTCTCGCGCAGCGTTGGGTGGAAGGACTGCCAGTTGGGGCTCTCAGGATTGTTGTTATCTGGCGCGGGCGGCGCGGGCAAGGGTAGTAGCGGGGCGGGCGCCAGGCGCGGCGGGCAGCAAAGGCCGACCTTCCTGCCCACGGCCGCGTCCGCCGCGTTGCTGTTGGCGATGTCGGTGGCAGTAGGTGAGGAGGCACCAGCGGGCGGGTAGAGTTCTGCGGCCATCTTCGCTCCGGCCGGAGCCGTCTCCACACTGGTCGGCGCCGCCCCGCGCGCCTTCGCGCCGCGCCGGGGCCTGGGCAGCGGCTCTGCGAGCACCAGCAGAGAGGTTAGGCACTGCGCCACCCGCCCATGCAGGCAGGCCAGCGGCAGCAGCATGGGGCCACGCCGGCCCTGCCTGCCGCCCGCGCCCCGCACCCCGCACCCCGCACCCCGCACCGAGCCCGCGGCCCGGCCGCAGGGGGCGCCGTCCCGCCAGTACCCAGTGCAGCCACAGCGTCTCTCGTCACTGTGCGTCACGACGCGACTCCTCTCGCCAAAGCCCCGCCCTCGAGGGGGAGGCGCCGAAGCCCCGCCCGGCAGGTTTGTCTGCACTGTAGTTGGAGTTTCTATCACTTAAGAGGTGAGAACTCAGGAGCTCAGCTTTTGTAAAACAACCTGATGCAGCTAGCTTTCCTCCATGGAAGAAGTGAGTCTCTTATGCCCGGCTTCTTTAATAGAGCATAAAGTCAAGGGCAGTACATGTTGTAGTGTGTCTTTTTCTTTTTTTATCAGGACTTTGTATTCTCCAGAGGGGCCTCTAACTTCCTATGTAGACCCGCCTATAAGTTAACTGTTGTCTGTTGCATTTTGTTTGCCAGTTGACCCAGCTGTTGTGACCGCAATTATCCCCTCAGATCCTAGTCGGGATTCTCTGAGGCTTTACCCAGAAGTGAGGTGGTTGGAACAAACGGTCGGTTGTTCTTCATTGCCTTTTAAATCTTACTGTTTATATTTTATGTGTGTTCTGTTTGCATGTGTCTCTGTGCACCATGTGTATACCTGGTGTGTGCAGAGGCCAGAAGAGGTGTTGGTCCCCTGGAACTGGAGATACAGATGGTCGTGAGCTGAAAGATGTGGGTACTGGGAACTGAACCTGAGTCACCACACAGTCATACCCAGCCCTTCGTTTACTTCTGCTTTTTTGGTTTTTGTTGTTGGTTTTGTTTTGGTTTTGGTTTTTCGAGACAGGGTTTCTCTGTGGCTTTGGAGGCTGTCCTGGAACTCGCTCTGTAGACCAGGCTAGCCTCGAACTCACAGAGATCCGACTGCCTCTGCCTCCCTAGTGCTGGGATTAAAGGCATGTGCCAGCACCATCTAGCTTCATTTGCCCTTTTTTTTTAAAGGTTTATTTATTTATTTACTTGTCCATTTATTAGGTATAGTGTTCTGCTTGCATGTTTACCTGCTTGCCAGAAGAGGGCACCAGATCTTATTACAGGTGGTTGCCATGTGGTTGCTGGGAATTGAACTCAGGTCCTCTGGAAGAGCAGCCAGTGCTGTTAACCACTGAGCCATCTCTCCAGCCCTCTTGAGATGGTATCTTGATCGTTGATGCTGAGCCCCTTTCCTTGTGTTTCTTGAAATAAACGTACTCAAGTCAGTTTGCCTTTTCACTGCATGGAGTTCTTTAGGTAGTATGGATACTAATCCTGATGCTAGTGATTTATGGTCGTTTTCTCCTGTTTTTGTAGTTGCCTTGTCTGTGGATAGATTCCTTTGCTATATAGAAACTTTGCAGTCTGAAGTCATCCTGTGTGTCTGTTTCTGCCTTTGTTGAATCATTGTTAAGAACAATGTTACAGTGTCCCCCATGTTTTCTTTTAGGGAATTTGTACATCTTTGGTCTGTTTGGCCATAGTTTTACAAGTGACAGTAAATCTTATTTTTCCCAGCCTGTTTGCTGAAGAGACTGCCCTTACACCTTGTGTCTTTTTATCCATCTATCTGTATGCTTCCTGAGACAAGGTTTTAGCTATGCAGGCTTGGCTGTCCTGAAACTGACTATGTAGACCAGGCTGGCCTTGAACTCCTAGAGATCCACCTGCTTCTACCTCCTGAGTGCTGGGATTAAAGGTGTGCGTCATCAGGCCTGTCTTGGTTTCTTTGTTATTTAATGCACATGCCATTTTCATAACTGTTCCATTGATTCTGCAAAAGGATTACTTCGTGAGGCAGAAAATTTAAAGTCTATTTAGTAAATGCAATCTAGTGATACGAATGCCACCTTAATCCATTTTGCTGACTGACCTCAGATTGGAGAGAACTTTGTTAATAGTTCCCCCCCTTGTGATTTGGAAATGTCTGTTTCCAGCACTTCTTGCTGTGTATGACTCCACCACTGTGTCTTCTCTGGAGGCACGGGTTTCCCTGTTCACAGCTTGCCTGTTCCCACAGGCCTGCACGTCCATTCAGGGAACCTGAGTCAGGCAGCCTAGACTCTTTCTTCATCCCCCACAACCCCTTTTAAACTTTTTAGAGACAAGGTCATGCAATGTTTCCCAGGCTGGCTTCAACTCTCCATCCTCGTACTGCAGCCTACGTAGCAGCGTGGACTACAGGCATTTGTTGCCATCCATACTATCCTTTTTATTTAGGGAAGGCGAGTGGAGGAGTTAGGAGTCAGGGCTAGTGAGACAGAGTCTCACTCTGTAGATCAGGTTGGCCTGAAACTCATAGAAATCCACCTGCCTCCGCTTTCTGGGTGCTGGAATTAAAGATGTTCACCATCATTCCTGGCCTGAGGACATTTTTAAAAATCAAGTCTAATCATTGCTGTATTCATTAGGCCTGGAACATAACAATTAAATATGCATATGTATGTTATATATGTAGTTCATCTTTTATAGACAGGTGCATGCTTTTAATCCCAGTACTCAGGATGCAGAGGCAGGCAGATCTCTGAGTTCAAGGCTAGCCTAGTCTACAGAATGAGTTTCAGGACAGCCAGGGTTACACAGAGAAATTCTGTCTCAACAAACCAAAGAAACTTTTGGGGGCCCAAGGCTGTTGAATTTTTACTAAGATGACTACTAGGGTTCTCAACAGTTTAGCACAACCTAGGTGCACTGGTACCCAACAAAGCCAGGTGGTTACTGTGGGATGTGACTTGGATCTATCCAGTCCTCTAGATTTCAGGCTGCTTCAGGGCCTCCATCCTCACTGCCCTCATAAACCCTCCCTAGGTCCTTCTGTTGTTTTTCTTTTCTTTTTAAGCGATGGTGTCTCTGGTGTCTAGGGTGGCCTAAGTGTCCTCCCACACATCTCCCAAGTAGCTTCGGTCACAGGTATAAGCCGGTGTGCTCGGCTTTCTTCTCTGAGACTCTGAGCTGCATTGGATCCTTGTGTGTGTGGTCTCATGGAGTCACTTGGCAAAGGTCTTTTTGCCCTGGAGGATGGGCGAGGTGTCAGTCAGCAGCTGATGTCCTTTCCCTTCCCTGCCCTTGCTGCCGTCTGGAAAGTGAGGTAGAGACTCCTTGAGAGCCACCCTGGTCCTCCTCCAGTGTTACCTGCTGGCGTTCTCTGAGCTGCCTGCTTCTCAGCCCTGAGCATAAGTGCCTCTTCCTGGACACGTCCCAAGATCTCCTCTGTCTCTAGGTAGTGTCTTTGCACAAATGGCATGGTGATAATGAACTGAATTCAGCAAGTGACTTGGTTGCTCTTGTTGGCCCCATTCATGGGCTCCATCAATTTTTGGTGGAAGCTTCAGCACCCAGCAGAGTGCCAGGCAGAGAGGAGGAAGAGAAGCCACTGTGAGCATGCGTGTACCTGTGTGCCCACTGCGCTCATTTTGCAGGCTGCTGAGTTGACATGGCCACTCAGGAAATTCAGACGGTGATGTGTGTAAAGAGCCCACATCTGCCAACTCTGTGACCTCTCGTCACCCTCCAAGAGAAGGTGGAAGCTATGCTCTCCCCATCCCTATTTCATTCATGCCCAGAATTGCTCCCTGGGCAGACAGCCGCTCTTCTCTGGATGCCGGAACACAGACGGTGGCACAGCTGTGGGTGAAAGAGGCTGTGCTCCAGGGGGGGGACCTCAGGGAGCCGTGCGCACAGGGAGGGGCAGAGCACTTTGTGCGCATGTGCGTGCACACTAAGGTGGCGTGTCTCCTGTGCAGACCCGTGCTTGTACATTCCACGCTTTGCTCACCTACTGGAGTTTGGGGAGAAGAACCATGAGGTGTCCATGACAGCCCTGAGGCTTCTGCAGAGGATGAAGAGGGACTGGATGCATACAGGCCGGCGCCCCTCTGGCCTCTGTGGAGCAGGTACAGTGTGGGCCATCAGTCTAGCACTTGGGTAGCATTTTCTCCTGGTGCTTGATAAGCGTGTGCATGCACGTAGGAGTGTAGGGGTGAGCCCACAGTACTGTCCACGCCCAGAAGGGCAGGGACAGGGAGATGGGCACAGGTGAGATATTTAAAGAAAGAGAAAAAAAACCTCTCTCTCTTGCTTGGAAGCCTGCCACGCTTCTGATCATCCGGCTTGTGTGTAAGTTCTTTCTCTGGTAAATAAATACACTAATTTCCATATTGCATTGACCTCCCTCATCATAGGAGGGTTCTAGCTGTCAAATTTAGGGTCCCGTGCGTAATAAGTAAATTGAACCCTAGCCATCTGTCTTGAGCCTTAAAGCAGTCAAGCCCATGAGTTACTGGTTCCAGTTCCAGAGTCCACCTTACATAAGAGCTGTGTCCTGGACCCAGGACCTCCCTGACCTTCATGGTCTTCACCCCTTAAGGACTCTGGTACTTGTTCCCTTGTTGGCCTCTGCAGATTCTGAGATGAGAGACAGGACTTCAGAGGATGAAATGACGATTTGACGTCCTCGTTCTACTCGTGGCAAATTGTTGCCTCAGCATGGTTAGTGATACGGCCTCTCACTGAGACAGAGTCCTTGTTAGCCCAGCAGCAGCGCTGTTTTGGTTGCCCCTGTGAGGCCCTTCAGGCACTGACTGTGGCCTAGACCAAGAGTCCCCTGCTCAGAGAGAGCTCCAGGCCAGCAGGCCTGTTCTTCTGCACTCGTAGGTGATGCTGCCTGAGACTCAGCTTGTGTGTGAGCCCAGACTCCCTCGTTTACACTGCAGGTTCGCTGTCACCGTAATGCGCAGTGCTCAGACAGGGTCCATCTTGTGCCCCAGCCTCTCCCAGCTTGACTGCATTCACGGGACCCTCTGCTCCCATCATAACCGTGGGTTCCCATACATCGCCCTGAGGGGTATAAGGAATTCTTGGATTTTCTGTTTTCCTTGTGTTTAAAAGTAGAATGTAGTACAGCTTCAACCCAAAGTAAGAATGGGAGTGTCTTTGCCATAGACTGCCTGCATCCTAGGTCTGTCTGCAGAAGGCAGACACCCTGCCACCTTGTAGAAGCCACAGCAGACAATCCCAGTCACAGCTGTTCAGCTGTCACCAGCCAGAGCTAAGAAAGAGTTTTGCTCACTTTCATTTCTGTGTGAGTTTCCTGATGATCTCATTTCTTTCCTAGCACTTTTGGTTGCAGCCAGAATGCATGACTTCCGGAGAACCGTCAAAGAGGTCATCAGTGTGGTCAAAGTGTGTGAGTCCACTCTGCGGAAGAGGTCAGCATTCTCCTTCAGTGTGACGGCTGCCGGGCCCAGCTGTGGATTGGAGTTGCTGCTGCCCTGGGTTACCCTGCCCTTGGGAAGTGCTGGCTTCCCACCTGTCCTAGGGTCCCCTGAGATTAGTAGACTGTGATTTACAGAGGCCCCCATCCCAGTTGCTTTTTTCTGTCTGGGCTTTGAGAGCCCGAGTGACTTCTTGCTAGAGCTGGTTAAATCTCACCATGCCTAGCTGGGCGTTGGTGGTGCACACCTTTAATCCCAGCACTCAGGAGGCAGAGGCAGGCGGATCTCTGTGAGTTCGATGCCAGCCTGGTCTACAAGACCTAGTTCCAGGACAGCCTCCAAAGCCACAGAGAAACCCTGTTTCAAAAAACAAAAAAAACAAAAAACAAAAAAAAATCTCACCGTGCCTGTCATGGGTTGCTCCCAGCGCATTCAGATGACCTAGGCAAGATGAATAAGCCAAGGCAAGGAACTGCTGGGACCTGTCATTGCTGCTCCTTTCTGCTCCTCAGAATCTGCTGGAGTGCCTTCTAAAGCAAATGAGAAAGTCATTTTAAGTATTTGGCCTGTAATAACTTTAAAATTACTTTTTTAAAGTTAATATTACATTTATTTATTTGTGTATATGTATGCCACTGCACACAATGGGGAGATCAGAGGGCAACGTGGGGAGGTCAGTTCTCTCCTGCCTAGGGTTCCTAGGGATTGAACTCAGGTCACGGGCACTTTCGTATGCTGAGGCAGTCTCACAAGCCCCCACCCCACCCCAGAGACAGGGTCTCTTTGTAGTCTTGGCCTACCTAGAACTCACAGAGTCCTCATGCCTCAGCCTCCCAAGTGCTGGGAGTAAAGGCGTGTGCCGCCACACCTTCCTCTTTATTTTTAATTAAGACATTTAAAAGGTGTAGTGTATATGTGCAAGTCCGCATGTGTAGACAAGAGACGAACTGGCAGAATTGTCTCTCCTTCCACTGAGGGTGCTGGGCTGAAACTCAGGTCATCAGACTGGGCAGCTGATCCATCTTGTTAAGCTAAATTTCTACCTAACTAGTTTATTAAAAATTGTGTGGCATCGCCCTTCACTGACTCCGGGAGAGCTGGCACTGCTCCTTGCTGGCCCCACCCCTCACAGGACAGCTGGTCCCACACTCGGGAGAGGTGACCCACTCTTTTCACTAGGGTTGTGGGAGAGCTGGCCCTGACAGCTTGGGCACAGAAGAGCTGGCTTTCCCCCTCACCTAAGGGGGCCGTCCCAGCAGCCCAGACTGACCACATCAGCTACCACATCCTGGCTTTGAGTTGACATCTACCCCATCTGTGACCTGCCAGAGTGCATGAAGGCGCTGGTTCTATGGAACCATAGTTGCAGTGTCTCTATGACTTCGGGCAACAGCAGGCTATCAGAGAGGAATTTTGGTGAGAGTCCAGTATTGATGGTGCTGAGAAGCCACAGGCCTTGAACCAGACCAACAACTCATTGCAATGAATGTTTGCAAGTAAACCTTAGTGGACAAAAGTGTGACACACCGTAGCCCCAATGCCACTAAGATGAATGAAGACGTGTTAAAGAGTTGGGGAAGATGGAGGAGAAGAGTAGTTTTTTTTGTTTGTTGTTTGGTTTGGTTTTAATTAATTAATTATTTTTAAAGATTTTCCTTTGGGTGCGATGCTACCAGGGTTAGGGGCAGATATGGAGGGACTGGGAAATGAGTGGGATTGGAATTCATGATGTGAAATTTCCAAAGAATCAATAAAAAATTATGTGAGGAAAATTGTAAGCTGGTGGATACCTTTAATCCCAGCTCTTAGGAGGCAGAGGCAGGTGGATCTCTGAGTTTGAGGCCATCTTGGTCTACAGAGAGAGTTCCAGGACAGCCAAGGCTACACACTAAGAGATCTCAAAAAAAAATTTAATACTAATATTGAGTAAAAATTAAAATGTAGTCAAGCACTTCTATAACCCCAGCTCTAGGCGCATCAAGGCGGCAGGATCAACAGTTCAGGTCATCCTCAGGTACATGGCAGCTTCAGAGCCAGCCTGGGCTACGTGAGACTCACTCTTAAAAATGTTGGCCAGCAGTATGTGCTTGTGGGGGGAGGCCATCAAGGTGGCTCAGCAGGTCAGGACTGACCGCTGAGTTCAGTCCTCAGGGCCCATGTGGCAGTAGGAGAGAGCTGAGCCTGCAGTGTCCTCAGACCCCCACTTGCGTGTTGTGGCATGTATGCATGCTTGTGTATGTGAGCACCTTCCCCACGTAAACAAGCTAGCTTTTTAGCTTCAAAAATGCAGAAAAGTTGCTAAGATGTAAACTGTGTTGACTGTCACAGAAGAGCCCTGCTCAGGTTGCTGGGTGGGAAGAGGAAGGCCGCCTTCCTTGCAGGCCTCCCAAGCTCTTCCGCCAGGGCCGGCGTTAGGCACGCAGAAGTAGTGAGGGTGCCATGGGCTTCTCTCTGCTCTTCTGTCTTAGGCTCACAGAATTCGAAGACACTCCAACCAGTCAGCTCACCATTGATGAGTTTATGAAGATTGACCTGGAGGAGGAATGTGACCCTCCCTCGTACACAGCTGGACAGAGGAAGCTGCGCATGAAGCAGGTGGCCCCGTACTTCCATGTGTTCTAAGATCCCCACATCCGTTGCACTCCCAGGGCTGCTAACTGGTCCTCTCGGCCTTGAGAGTGAGTCTTAGGGGTGCACCATGTGTGGACCCTCCAAGCCCTGTCCACACTGGGGCACATGGTGAGCTTTCTGTCCCTGGCCCCTTGAACCCGTCCCCACAGCCAAGCTCTATTTCCGGTTTATTCCTTGTCGTCTGAGGCAGCCACCCCTGCATCCAGACTTCTTCCATTGCCACTGAGACTGTGACCGTGCTCGTACTAGGACTGCACTCAGGCTGCTGAGTTTGGGGACTACCGGGTGCATTGTGTACATGGGACGACCTGACCCTTCCCAGTCACATTGGCTTGGGTGGGATGTTGAGGTTTCAAGTTTTTAGGTATTTAGAAAGGGCTGCTTCTGCCCAGGGCTACATGCATGTTTGGAAGGAGAGGGCCAGGCCTGCAGCTCCGACTGACCATCCCAAGCCTTGTCAACAGTGAGACTTTTAACACTGGACTCCTTACCAATTGTCTTTCAGCTGGAACAGGTCCTGTCAAAAAAGCTAGAAGAAGTTGAAGGTAACCAGCCAGTTCTCACATGAGTGTTTCCTTTTGGGGACAAAATGAGCATGCTCACCTTGTGCTTTTAACCTGTCCCTTTAGGTGAGATATCCAGTTACCAGGACGCCATTGAAATTGAGCTGGAAAACAGCCGGCCAAAGGCAAAAGGGGCTCTTGCCAACTTGTCAAAGGATGGTGAGTCCTCCCTGCCCACCTCTGAGGGCCCCAGGCCAGCACCCCAACCTTCCCTCCTCACTGGTCCCTGACCGCACCCCAGTCTCTTATCTCCCTGCACTGCAGCACTAAATTACGTATCAAGTTACTGCCACGACACTCTTCTTCACCTGGCCACAACCTGCATGTGCTGCAGGGGGCCCTGCTGGCCTGTTGAAGCATGCGTCCCTGCGTGGGCTTTTCAGAGCTGCTGTAACCTTTGCCAGGTGGATGACTCTCTGGGCTGTGCAGAGTGAAGGCAAAAGTCTGCTTCCTTCCTGGACACACGGTCTAGGGAAGCACTCTGAGCATCGCCCTGGCTGCCTGTCTGTGCTCTCTGTCTGTGCTAATACCCTGTGCCATGCCGGGCAAGTGTAAATGTCCTCTGTGCTCCCCTCAGTGTGTGCAGTCACTTGCTTATGTCCCGTGTCCACGCTAAGATCGCCTCGTCCACCCCTGTCTACCTGCAGTCTGCCCCACTTGTCAGCGTGCGGACAGCTGCCGAGCTTGTCTTTCTGTCCTGCCCTGACTTCCTTTCTGTCTGGCCTTTGCTCCTGGACTGTCTGGGCTAGCACCACACTACTGCCTTCTGTGTGGCTGTTTGGTCCCCATGGCAACTTGCAGCTTGACAGTAGCATTGGCTTGTGCGTTCTGGCTACTCCTGTGCAGTGTGAACTCTGTTGTCACTCATGCCATTTTCAGTCATTTTGTCACTGGGTTTTCCAAGTTCTTGCTTCCGTCATCTACACAAAGCGATTCTGCTGCTGTTCTCTACCAGCTCTTGATTTCCCTCTTGAGTCTGCCTGGCCCTGCAGCACCCTGCTGATCTTGGGACGGCAGTGTGGACTAGTGTGCATGCGCTGAGCGGGTGTCCCCTTGTCTGTCTGTCATGGTGAGTAAATGCCCACCCACTGTCATCGGGAGTTTTCTTTTCTCCGTGAAATGAGAGTTTCAGAGGGTTACGGCCTCCGTGGAGACCACAGGCGTTCCCGCAATAGGTGAATGTGATCCAGTGTCACACCGTTGGGTTCTCCCTAGTTCCTAGAAGGCAACATTTGGATCTCAATGGCTGCTGTACTCATACCCATCCAAGGCCTTGGTTCAGTGCAGAACTCAGTTCACTACTATTGATTCTCTGTGTGGAGGTTTTCTTTGTGATCTCTTCTAAACTTACACGGTCTTATTTTCTACCCGTCCTTTGCACGTACATGTCTGCTGCCTTCTGTTTCCTAGGTGGTTGCTTCCGCCTGGCTTCATCCTTCTAACTTACTCCACCTCCCAGGTCTCCTGCCTGACTTCTCTGTTCTGAGTCTGCTGACTGTGCACGTGGGGCACTGAACTTCCTGTGCCTGTGAGAATTGTTAGGTTTGCAGTTTCTTAGTCTCAAGACATTTCCTCTGTTGCACATGTGAGGGAGCTGTGGAAATTCTGGGGTAAGGTATGCTCTGATGTGGTTACTAACTCTGCTTGTGTTGTGCAGTAATCAGGGAATATGCTGGAGCGTTCCTCCTTGGCACTTGTTGGGCATGCAGTATCCGTAGACACTGCAGAGAGGCACCTTGTGTCATGTGCACACAGGTGAGACATGTCCCACTTTGACTGCTAACAGAACTGAGGACCTTCCATATGGTGGCTCTGCTTCAGAGCTCTGGTCTCCCTCACTCTGATTTCCCCGGTGGCTCCCTCATATTCAGAGATGTGGCTGATACCTTGTTATGATTCTCAAGGCCTGTCTTCTACCAGAGGCACTTAGCCACCTTCAAGCCTGGAGGCCTGACCCTTGGGGCACACATAGGCCCAGGTGTCACTAAGTCTTGGCTGTCCCCTCTTTGGCTTTATGCTGCCTGGAGAACTTGTCCAGTGTTGACTTGATTCAGTCTGGATCCTTCTTCCCTAGTGGTTTGAAGCAGGCTGATGTGCTTGGTCCTGGCTGTCTGCTCTAGTGTCCTTTGTGTAACTCTTTTATTCCTTTTCTTGACTTCATCTGTCCCTCTTCCACAGCCTGACTCTGGAGCACAGCGGAAACAAGTAGCCACAGGCAGGGCACTGTGGGTCAGACTACACAGGTGTGTCTTTAAGAACAAGCGTCAGAAGCTATAATGCACACACTACAGGCTGTGTTTGGCTCTAACGCAGCTTTGGCTCTTGAGCTTTGCCTGTGAACATGCATGACACCGGGTGAAGGCAGCACCACAGTCACTGTGATTCTAGACCTGTCACTGCCACTGTCTCTCTGTCCTTTGTGATGGCACCCCACCCTTCCTCCCTACTTCAAGCTGCCACTGGGTGAGTGGTCTTTTCTAGACTTTTACACAGAAGTCTTCTGTGGACATACCCTGGTCTTTCCTCAGCATTAATTTTGCGTTGCCCTTTAGTCGCGGTCCTTTTTCTCGTGTAGCCCCCTTAAGTGTGGGGAAGTGCTTACCGCTCCTGGGGAGTGCATCTGGGTTAGTCCCAGCAAGCCTGTATGCAGTCTCTGTCCATATGCATTTCCTTTGTACTGGACACAGCAGAACTGCTGGGTCTGGTGTAGGTGGTGTAGGCAAGCAGTTTGCGTAGCAGCCACCACTGTCGGCACACGTGAGACCAGTGCCTCAGTCCTGTCTCCATCCTCTGATGAGGTGACCGGTGTGTATGGTGGGAGGCCATAGGGGACAGCTCTCCTGCTCCGACCGCCCAGCTGCAGTGTCTCTCAGGGCTCCATGGCCACGCCCTCTCTTGCTGTCCTGCCCCGAGTGTGTTCTGTGCCGCTCTGGCGGGTCTTTCTTTGCCCTTTTTATTTGGGTGTTGTGTTTCTGAGCATAGTCGCTCTTCACGTGCTGTAGGCTGCCCTTTCTGACATGGTCTAAAAGGAAGCTATGGCTCACTGTTGTCTTGACAGACCAGACATTGTAATTCTTTTTTTTTTTAATCATAATTAGTTTAAAATCTATCTATCTTTTATGGGTTCTGCTTTTGTCTTGTTGAAGGTGTTTTTGCTAACCCTAGAGCACACACTTTATTTATCTTTTCTGACAGTTCTTACGCTCTCAGATGCCACATTTAAGCCAGCTTTTGCACAGAGCATGAGGACTAAGCCAGGCCATTCTTGCACGTGGGCAACCAACGCCGTCTGCTGGCAGGACCGTGCTTTCTCTGCTGCAGAAAAAGGCATGCTTTTTGGCAGATTTTGTGTTCTCGGTTATTTTGCAGCTTTGCAAAAAATGTTTCTGTTACAAAAGTGGGCTCTTTCTGGCTTTCTGCCTGGTTGACAGGTGGTGTGCGAATCGTGTGTCCCTAGGCTCCGGTGAGGACTCCACACCCAGCCCGTTCTGTGAGGAGGACACGGAGGATGAGGAGCTGGAGGCTGCTGCCAGCCACATGAACAAGGACTTCTACCGAGAGCTCCTGGGGGATGACGGCGGCTCCGAAGCAACAGAAGGCCCTGATGGGGGCAGCAGGCCCCTTGCCCTGGAGTCCTTACTCGGCCCCTTGCCCACAGCGGCCAGCCTGGGCATCTCCGACTCCATCCGAGAGTGCATCTCCTCCCCAAGTGGGGACCCCAGTGAGTGCCACGGGACGGGGAGTTTACAGTCCAAAGGGTCGCTGCTGTGGATTAGACCAGAAATACTTGGGCTTGGATGAGGCACTGTGAGGTCCCTGGGCACTGTAATTCCATTTATCCTGCTGTGATAAATATCCTGTCAGAAGCACCTGTGGGGAACAGCTTACAATGTCAGGTTACAGTCCTTCCTTCATTTCAGGAAAGTCAAGGCAGGAACTCAAACAACTAATCACATCACATCCATAGTCAGTAGCAAAGAGAAAACAGACATTGCTTCCTGCTTGCTCCTTGTAGCTTTCTCGTGTCTTCTCGGGGCCCCAACAGTGAGCTGGGGCTTCCTACACCAATTAACAATGAAGACAGTCCTCACAGACTTGCCTACAGGCCAGCCTGATGAAGATGTTTACTCAGTTGAGACCCTCTTCCCAGGTGACATCTGAAACTAACCATCACACAGGGCACAGAGCTGGGAATGTGCCACCACGCTGAGATGCCAGCTGGCCTTGTTACCATGAGCTCCCTCTGGCCCTCCTGCTTTGGTTGGCTGACTTACGGCATGGCTCCTGAGTCTCAGTGGCTGCCAAATGACTGAGAGGGTCTGGCATAGTCTGAAGTCATACAGGTCAGGGGATGGGTTCACTCCTGATCTTTTCACCATTGGTGTTGCCTGCTGAGTTTGAGCATGGGCAGAGGAGAAACACACTCACCAACATTTGCCCCTGCCACCCAACAGTACCAGATCCCTGTGGCTTCTTGCCCTTCACCTGTAAAAGTCGGGAGGAAGGTTGAGAGCGCTGACGCCCTTTCAAAGATCAGGTCCCGGGGGATGATGCCGCTTTTGGCTTTTGGAGGAACTGCACACATGGGTACCCAGGCATCCGTGCAGGCAAAACATCCACACACAAAATAAACTGCAATAAATAGTTAAGAAGGGCTGGGACACCAGTGGCCGTGGAAGGGTACCCGGTCCCATTCCTGTAATCTGCTTCTTCTCTCCTGGCCAGGTGAAGAGTTGATTTTTGCTAGAGGGTGGGGCCTCTCAAGATGGGCAGAACAGTTGAGAAATGGGGCCTGTGTGAGGTGTAGACCTCTCAGCTGGGGAGGGAGATGCTTCACCTGTGGGCCAAGTATGGAGAGGACAGTTGAGTGTCTGCTTTGAGGGGACAGGTGATTCAGAACAATGCCAAGGGACTTGGGAGCCTGAGCATAGGCAACCCAGAGCAGAGAGCAAGGGAAGGGGCAGACCACAGAGAGTCTCGTGGGATGGTCTCTCCACTAATGAGTCACCCCAGGACCTCAGCCTTGAGCAGAAGAAGACACCTCAGACTCCCCGTCTCGTGGGCCAGTTGCCATGCCTTACCCGGGCCACTGTGTGGGTGAGGGTGGGGGAGTGAAGGGCTGCCTGCATCTAGAGGGTGCGACACTGGAGGGAGAATCCGGTGCTCTGTACTGCTGCGGTCCGCCGCAGACCCACCTCCAGGGCTTCTGGCCTGGAGTAGGATAGCAGCATGCCCAGACCACGCCTTCTAGCAGCCCTTTACCTAGTCTTGACCTGAGCTTAGGTGTCTTGTTGAGGACACAGATATTCTCTGTGCCTGTTCTCGTCCCCATGGGCAAGTGTTAAAGTGACATTCTCTCGGAGGAGATTCCTGCAGCCCCTTTGCCCCAGCCCTGGGCCCCACGCATCCCCATGGTGAGCCGGAGCTGCCGGGGCAGCCTCTGTGACACTGATGGGTTCTTTTCTCTAGAAGACACTTCAGGGGACGGGGAACTGGACCTCAGTGGCATCGACGACCTTGAGATCGACAGAGTAAGCCCTGACTGTCCTTGTCCCCAGTGGTGGTTGGGACTTATGGAGGCTAAAGTGGGGTTGAACTAGCTTCAGGGTCTGTCACTCACCTTTAGCCTCTTTGAGCCTTGTGGCTTTCTCAGACATTCCCTAACAGGTGGGTGGTCTCAACTTGTGGTGCCTGTGGCCCAGACATACACCCTAGACTCCTTCCTCTAAGCTCCATTCCAAGGCAGCTTTGACTGTCATGTGCCCTTCCTCTGAAACCCCAAAAAACCCTACCAGGACCTTGTTGGGAAGGCCTTGAACTCTGCATCTGGCCTTGGCTCCCATTGCATCCCAAATGTACTGTACATCGCTAATCCTCAAATTCCAGGGGCCCCAGACTATGCACTAACACTTGGCTATGTATCTTAGAGATCTGCCTAACTAGGCTTAGGAACTGAATACCGGTTCATGGCTGCAGGGTAAAGTTTGTGGAGGAGGACAAAAAACTGATAGGTTTCTCTGTGAAGGGAGGCCTTCCCACATCCTTTCTTGAGCAGTTTAAGAACATAAATAGGAAGCTAGTTGCTGAGAGATCTTGGCATGCCACGGAGCTCGGCCTCAAAGATCTGAAGCCTGTTCACTGCTTCCCTCCCACAGTACATCCTGAACGAGTCAGAAGCCCGGGTGAAAGCCGAGTTGTGGATGCGGGAGAATGCTGAGTACCTGCGGGAGCAGAAGGGTAAGTACCCACTCACCCTCTGCCTGGGTCCTGGCATGTGTCCCTTGCTGAGGCCAGCTGTTCTGTTCCCTTTCAGAGAAAGAAGCAAGAATAGCAAAGGAGAAGGAGCTGGGCATCTATAAGGAGCACAAGGTGAGTGCCATTCTGGAAACACCTCTCCTTTGTGTCCATGGGAGCCAGACTTGCACAGGCAGTGGAAGCCGTAGGACCACATCCCTGGCTGCCAGGCTGTTGTGTTGTTGCCTGCAGTGAGATAGCCGTGCAGTGGGATGATAGCCGTGCAGTGGGATGATAGCCATGCAGTGGGATGATGGCCGTGCAGTGGGATGATAGCCATGCAGTGGGATGATGGCCGTGCAGTGGGATGATGGCCGTGCAGTGGGATGATGGCCGTGCAGTGGGATGATGGCCGTGCAGTGGGATGATGGCCGTGCAGTGGGATGCCCCTCCAGATGGGCACAGCTGGGGCTCAGGAGTGCATGGCAGGTGTGAAGCTAGCACATGACAGAAGGAGGTGTTTTGTGTGTTTCATTCAGCCCAAGAAGTCTTGCAAACGCCGGGAGCCAATCCTGGCCAGCACAGCTGGGGAGGCTATCGAGAAGATGCTGGAACAGAAGAAAATCTCCAGCAAGATCAACTACAGTGTGCTTCGGGACCTTAACAGCAAGGGTGGAGGTAGCCCTCTCAGGGAGGACTCAGAGACCCCAGAGCGAGCCAGCACCAAGAAGCTGTCACGGAGGAACAGAGCGGCTGGCAGGAGCGGTGCTGCCCCTGGGACAAGCATGGGGAAGAGGTACTGTCCTGCCCCTTGCGCTGGGTCTGCCGGGAAGAGGCCAGCAGAGGACTAGGCTCCATCTCGTTTGCAGCCAGGGCTTCAGGAGCCACACTTGTCCCACTGTATGCTGAAGCTAACAGGCCGTCTCCAGATGTGGGTGTGGCCTGACACCACCCCCTATGCACGCTTCTCAATCCCAGAGCTCAGAGGCTTCTGGCAGCAGCAGGGCCTATTCCCATCTCCAGTAAACATTTGGACACTTAGTGTGAGTGGGCTTTTCCAGCCTGCCACACCCACACCCCTTCTGTCCTCCTGAGGCTCCATCGGCTGTGTTGAGAGAGAGGAAGCAGGCACAGTGCCGCTCTACAGCTTGACGAGGGCGTGTTTGAGGTGGCTGAGCTGCGCATAGTCCTCCTGTGCCGTGACTTACTCTTGGGTGGTAGCTGCCAGTTTTCCTGATGAGGTCACAGGTAGTTCATTCCCTTGGCTCTGGAGATAGACTGGACACCCAGTGTGGCTACCATCCACCTGCCTGCCCTGAGCATCCTGGGAGATGCTGCCTGCCCAGTCTCCATGTGTGAATTAGCCATGGCTTGTCCGAGGAGGAAGCCGAGTGCTCGTGTCTGTGTGTTGCTTCCCTTTTGCTGCCGGTAGGTTTTGTTTTCTTACTTAATCATATGATGCTATCGTAGGACCCAGGAGGACGAGGCTGGAGAACGGTGAATTCAAGGCCAGCCATGGCTGCATAATGAGACCCAGTCCTCAAAATTATAAATTTAAAAAAAGTAACTGAAAAGGTGGCTCGGGTTCAGAGATACCCGAGTTCAGTTCCCAGCTCCCACATCAGGCAGCTCCTGTAACTCCAGGGGATCTGTGTTCTCTTCTGGCCTCCACAGGTATCCATACAAGCACAATATATCCTTACACACACACACACACACACACACACACACACACACACACACACACACACACAAAATAAATAAGTAATAAATAAATAAATAAACGTAAGTCTTAGAGACAGAGAGAAAGAAACACACCTTTAATCTTCACACTTAGGCAGAGGCAGAGACAGATGGATCTCTTGAATTCAAGGCCAGCCTTGTCTACATAGCGAGTTCCAGGACAGGTAGGCTGTGTGGTGAGACCGCGTTTCGAGAGGAGGAGGAAAAGAGGGAGGGAGGCAAGAGAGCCAGGAAGCAGCACCAGACCAGCAGGGTGTGCCGCTGCCCCGTAGTCCAGCCAGTTCACAGCTTTTGAGGTTGCTAGCATGTTCATAGAGTTCTTTACTGTGTCCAGATGGTGAGGGAGAAAAAAAAACCTACCTGTGTGTGCGTGTGCGTGTGTGTGTGTGTGTGTGTGTGTGTGTGTGTCTGTCTGTCTGTCTGTCTCTGTTAAAACAAGGTCTTACAATGTATGCAAGACTACTGGCTTGGACTTCTGATCCTCCTGCCTCCTCCTCGAGTGCTAGAATTAGAGGTGTGTGTGCTCCATCACTCCAGGCTTTAATGACTTTGTCTTACATCTTTTTATACCGTGAGCCTGATCCAGCTGGAACTTAACTTTGGCAAGAGGAGTAAGACGGAAGCCAAACTGGAGTTTGTGGTGGATACTGTAGACAGCATGTGTCTGTGAGATGCCCATCAGGTGACCCAAGTCTCCTGTCGCCAAGCTGATGGTTGCTCTACTTTGTATAGCCCAGGAGTGTTTGGTGGGCCAAATTCTTGAGAGCATTTTTGCACATGGCCTGTTTATTTTTTCTATGAACTGAGAATGAGAGGTCTAGGCTAGGCCTCTTCCCATTGTTGCTCTCAGCACCCGATGTCCTTACAAGCTGTCCCTGCCCCCAGTTGGTGGTATGGTTGTCGTAGGATTTTGAGTTCTGTGATTCCTTCCGGCTGCTTCTGTATGTGGGCAGTCCTCAATTTCCCCCATCCATTGTGTTCACAGAACCTGTTGGGTGTCTCCTGTTGCTCATGAGGCCTTCCCTTAACCCCTTGGTGCCTCAGGTTGGATGTCCTGTCTCCTGTCAGTGCTGGCTATCCCGAGTACTGAGTCAGCATGGCTGCTTTAGGTAGGAACTTCCTCAGAAGGGAGATGCCCTTTTCAGTCCCTGTGTGGTCACATAGCCTCTCTCTTAGAGATTACTAACGAGAACTACGGGCTGAATGCCCATGGAAGCTGTCCCGTGCACGTGTGGTAGATCAGATGGGGCGGGGCCAGGGCTTGACCCTCCCTCCCCACCTAAGCCCCTGCCCTAGCCACCCAGAAGGCATCCTCGGATCTGCTTATTGTGACCTGTGTCACCATCCCTAATGTCTAGCTGTAGCTAGAAATGGGTACAGAGAGTCTGATGGAGCTGAGCGTTCACAGGTCCAAGTTGAAGCTCAGTGAGGCCACTACTGTCAGTGCTGGGAGTTCCAGTGCAGTGATTCAGGTGACCTTTGTGGTCATGTGGTCAGGGGAGTTTGTGAATATCTGATATCCTGAGGAGTTATGAAGTCCTCAAGGCTGGGGGGCCCCGACCACTGCACTCAAGTCTCTGCCCTTACTCATCTTGACCAGTGCAGACAGTTCCAGCAGGGAGAGGAAAAAGACCACAGGGCTCCAGATTCTTAGCTTTCCCTGACAGCTGTTACCCACTGTCTGAGACAGCCCCTCTCAAGAGCAGTCTGGCAGGTGAGGTGGCTGTAGCATCAGCATCTACCTCTAGGAAGATGTTTCCCTAATGGATCCAGTGCTCCAGGCTTACACAAAGGCTCTTGGGTTTCCCAGGTCAGATCAAGCAGGCTTCCACAGCTCAGTAGAGGCAGTACCCAGACCCCACATGTAGTCCTCACCTGCCCTCTGGCTGTCCTAGAGGACGTGCCCTGGCTAGAGATCAGTAGCCATGTGGTGTTTATGAAACTGTAGCATCTATGGTCAAGGCAGAGAGCTTGACGGCGGTGAGGCTCCCTAGGCTGTGGCTGGCAAGGATTATCTTTGAAACTGAAGCTGTGATCTGAGGAACGCCATGCTGAACTTACTCTCTGGGCATCACAGACTCTTCTGTGAGACGTGACCAGCTGCTCTTGGGTCTCCATAGGTCCTAGAGAGGCCACAAACGCAGTAAGAAGGCTTCAGCTCCCTGCCTTTGTGCTCTGTGCCATCTGCCTGGTACGAGATTCTCTTTCAGCGCCATCGAGGATCCAGTATGTCATAGCTGGGCGGGACTGGGCCTCAAGGGCCACACAGAGCATGAGTCCAGGCCTTCACCTGCCTGTGTAGTTGTACCCTGGAAGAAAGGCATCTTGACCGTCCCCATACCCAGAGACCACTTACACTGACCTGGATGGCACTGTGCCTGTCTCCTCTTGAGTGGGTGCCCATTTTCCTTTCTGTTTCTTGTGGACATGGTGTCAAAGGTGCCTTTGTGTTTGGAAGTCCTAGGGACATCAAAGACAGGCCCAAGGTGGAGGTACTGCTGTGGGGGGGGGTGGAATTTTGGACAGGGTTCTCTGTGTATCCCTAGCTGACCTGGAATTCACTCTGTAGACCAGGCTGACCTCGAACTCCCAAGTGCTAGGACTAAAGGCATTTACCGTCACCACCCAGCTGGATCTTGTATTTTTATATAGTGTTTATATATCTCCCATTCATGACAGAATGATGGTAGGCATTGACTAACTAAGACAGTAGGTCAGATCAGCAGCACTGGTGTCCCAGGTAGTAAGACTGAGGGACAGGCGAGACCTGAGGTCAGCAGGAGGCCTGAGGGCAGGATGGGAGGCCGGGGTAAGACTGGTGAGACACCAGCAGAGGTGGTGACAGTTCTGTGTTTCTGGGAAGGTACACCTGTGGAGGGGCACGCGTGGGCCTCAGTCCTTTAGTCAGTGATGGTCACAGGCAAGTGTCATCTGAGGCTGTAGATTGAACTGACTGGGCACACACACTCACACACATCCTCACACACATGCACACACGCACACACACACATCCTCACACACATGCACACACTCATACACACACACTCACACGCATCCTCACACATGCACACACTCACACATGCATCCTCACACATGCACACATTCACACAACACTTAACACACATACACACATACATCCTCACACACATGCATACACTCACACACATGCATCCTCACATGCACACATTCACACACTCACACACACTCACACACACACTCACACCACACTCACACACACACTTACATACACATCCTCACACACATACACATTCACACACACATATACACATACATCCTCACACACATGCACACACTCACACACATGCATCGTCACACACTCACACACACATACACACACACCACACTCACACACATACACACACTTACACACTCACACCACACTCACACACATACTTACATACACATCTTCACACACACACACACTTACACACTCACACCACACTCACACACATACTTACATACACATCTTCACACACACACACACACACACACACACACACACACACACACACACACAGAGCCTGGACTGAGGCTGCTTCCATGCTTTCTTTCAGGTTGAGGCCTCTGGTGTCTACACACCCAGCTAAGAAGGCAGCTGTGGGAGAGGTATGTTGTCCTGCACAGCTGGGGCAGGGCCTCAGGACCACAAGTTGCCATCAGGCTTGGCAAGGGGGAGGCCCAGTTGGTTGCTGCTCCAGTATTAGCCTGGCTCCAGCAGAGAACCCTGAAGCTCAGGGTGTGAGGGTGCCTGAGTCACAGGAATGGGGCAGGCAGGTGCTAAGGGCCTGCTGCTGCGGGCGGGGGTGAGCCAAGCGCACTCTGGACTAGTGTGGGCAGAGGCTAGGTTGCACACCACAGGGCCCTGCCTCCCTCCTCAGATGACAAGAGCTTTGGGGGAAAAGAGGCCTGGGGCTTCATAGCCCCAGGAAACCAGAAGGAGGAGCTAGTGGATATGGGGAGGCAGGCTGGTCCGCTGACCAGCAGGAGCTCTGAAGAGTGCCCATGCCTGGACTGAGAGAACCTGAGGGTCCCCTCAGTCAGGAGGGCAGCCCACTCTGCTTCCATCCCAGAGACAGGCCCTCTCTTTCCAGGCCTTGCTCTTAAGTTCCCCTACCTTGGGAGCTGAGCCCATCAAGCCATCGGCAGTCTTGGTGGAGAGTGGCCCTGTGTCGTACCATCCTGACGAAGATGCAGATGAGGAGGACGCGGAAGAAGAGGATGGAGAGCCTTGCGTCAGTGCTCTGCAGATGATGGGTGGCAATGGTGGGTAGGACCCACGTGGCTATGGGCACACTACAGGAAATTTGGGGGAGGTATCCAGAGAGTAAAGCCATAGCCATCCACCCCAGGGATTTCCATATGTGAAGCCTGTGACTACAAACTAATTGTCTCTACAAAGAAGGGAGCTGGGATACTTAAAGCTGGCCATATGGATTCTGAGGCTCTTGAGTGTGCTAGAAGGAGGCTAGCCCCACAGGGAAGTGGCGTCTGCTGTGCAGGTCAAGGGTTCTGGGCTTGTTGGGAGTCAGAAGGGGCCTGTTCAACCGGAAGACAAATGTCTGGGTTGGCCCTGTTTACAGTGCCCAGGAAGGGGCCAAAGCCCCTCCCTACCCACAGTATGTACTAGCCCACCGGCCCCAAAGACTTCTGGGAATAGATTGACAGGGCGGGCCTTCAGGTGTGGGCCTGTGAGATGAGACACGGGGTTGGTCGTGGGGCTGGGGACATGAAGGTGGCTCCCTGTGGCAGCAGAGGCTGCCTGGACCTCCACCGCTGTTCTCTGTGTTTTGCAGATTACGGCTGTGACGGTGACGAAGATGACGGCTACTGAGTGGGACTCAAGGCCAGGCAGCGTCCTGGCGCTGGACTCCAAGTGTTTCTGTTTCATGGGGGTCAGATGGGCCCTGGGGCCGCGGCTCACAGGCATGATTTGTGGGACTCAACCAGCCAAGCACCACCCGTCTGATGTGAAGCTTTCTTCCCACGGCCGCACTGTGGCCCATCATACTTTACTGTTGGGAATCATGTTTTGAGCAATGTAAGGAATATTTTTGCCCAGCAAGGGAAACCAGCTGTGTGTCTGTGTATAATGAAACGTGTTCAGGGAGTAGCTGGGTCTGGATCCCACCTTGTGACCAAGCCTAGTCATTGAGTCACCAGAAGTCCTCAGGCAGGCTCTGTGCTCCTGTCATGAGATGAGAGCACAAAGAGGCTTTGCTCATGGAGTAACTCTGGTCTTAGCCTGCTGCCAGCGTTCTCTGCCCACCCTTCCTGTCCTGGAGGGACAGGCATCGGGCAGAAGGCGTGTCAGTTACTGCTGTGTGCTTTGCAACTACAGAACCCTGGGAACCTGTCTTTACCTGCAGCCCAGCTTCCTGCTGAGGTGGACACACATGCTTTCTACCAGCTCCAATGTCCGTTCACTGCCTTCAACCACCAGGAGCATTACAGCCTCAGCCTCTTGCTTAGGACACATGGGCTGTGCACCCAGGAGGTCCTGAGGCTACCCAGTAGCAGATTAGTCAAGGTGAGCAGCAGAGCTCAGGACGTGCAGACCAGCAGAGCATGCGCCGCTGCATGTCCAGCACAGCCTGTGTGGAGTTGTGGCTTCCGGCCCTGCCCTGGCACCTGAAGCAGAACCCAGGACTCCTTATCCTCTGCCTTGACTGAGGACCCAGGACTCCTTACCCTCAGAGCACTTGACTCAGACGGCCCTTTCCTGGGTGTGAGTCTGCATGGCTGGGCTGAGGCGGGCCTGAGAGGGTGAGGTGTCGGGGAGGGTGCTGCAGGTGGACGGAGAAGGGTGGGACAGATGCAGAGTGATTTTGATGAGAAGATTGCAAAATGCTTTTGGATTCTGTGTGGGAGTGTGGGACTGTAACCAACATTCCTTCCTGGGGGCAGGCGATGTCACAGGAGTGAGGTCAGAACCATGGTAGGGAGCCACGGTACTGGCCCAGAGTGTGTTTAGGGTGTTTGTGTGCTTGTATGTGACAGGACTTGCCTGTGGCATGGAGGGAATACAGGGCTGAGGGGTGGAGGTAAGGCAAGTACCTGGTACAGGAACTGAGACCTGCTCCCAGCTGTGCCTTGTCCCTGCTGGAAAGTGAGCACAAGCCAGTAAGGAGAGGTTGACAAGAGTCGGCAGAGAGAGGGAAGGGACAGGGAGAAATGTCCCTAGAAGATGGTGAGACCTGTATCACAGGGTTGAGAGGCCCAGGTGCTAAGGAGTAAGGTCCCAGTAGGGGGCAGCCATGCCGTGGGCAAGGGCACCCTGAGCTGAGGCCACAGCCTTGTGTGGTGAGCCACCACAAGCAGCAGTGTGCGGCTCAAGGAGGCACTGGGCTGTGTGACCCTGTTCTGCCCGCAGCTGGTCCATTTCTCTGTGCTCTTCTGACAGACTACCACAGCAGGGTCCCCCTGCCTCGGATCTTCCCAGAATGCAGACCAGTGTAGGCAGCCTCCTGGGGCACACTCAGGCCTCACCACACTGGACCTTAGGAGAGGGAAGGAAGGAGTGGGGGCGGGGGAGTGCATTGGATTCTGCATTCTAGACTGAGACCCTTTCTGGTGTACACATGAGTGCTGAGTGACCTGCCTCCTCTACCCTCTCCTGCTGCCTTTCTGCCCTGGGGGGGTCCTGAACTGAGGAGCCTAGTACTTGGTGGTCAGCCCCATCCTCTGCACACTGGGTGATCACCCAGGCTAGACAGGAGCAGTCAGCAAGGCTCCTGATAAGGCCACGCATCTGCTTAGCAGAGTGTGCGCCTGTCTGCAGAGGTAACGGGCTGCGTGTCGGGGCGGGCCACAGGGTGATAGCGCCGAGCAATGCAAGGCAGTGAGGCTGTCCCCACTTGTAGCTCTTCTGTCCTGAGCTGCTGCTGGACCCAGGGAGAAGCTTGTACAGCCCACCTTGAACTCCGATTTCCTATCAACCTGCTTTACCCAACTATATACCTAGTAGAGCAGGAGTGAAATAAGCCCTGGGGGGGCACTCTTTATACCTAGTTAGAAGGTGGAGGATGAGTTCTGACCATGTACCTCGTTTGATCATGTCATTGGTTTCTGCCCAGAGACCTACCTGTCCAGGACTCAGGGGACACAAACACACACACACACCTAGGAGTCCATTCCTGTCCCACACATAATGTGGGAGTGGGGCATGGGCCCAGCTGGACGGGTATTTGCCACTCTCTGATCTTTGCCTCTGTGCTTAAAGTAGCTGTCACCAGATGCTTGGCCAGATTACAGGGACCCTGCAGGAAACCCCGGAGGCCAGAAAAGCAGGGCTATTGGGTGTTGCTGCTGAGGGAGTGGAATGCATGCATCTTAGGGATACCTGTTAGACCCAGCACTCCTCCTTGTCCTCCCTTCTTAAGAGCATAGGACGGGGCTGACTAAAGAAAGGGGACTGAAGACACTGTTGTGTTCTCTCTGCAGGCTGCTTCCTGCATTGTGGATAACCTAGGTTCTACTCACAGCTTAGGCTGAGCTAGGGACACTGGACCATGGTGCTGTAGGCAGTAGCTGCAACTGGTCTACGGTAGTTTCTTTATGTTGGTGGTGGTGGGGTTTTCGTTTTGGGGTTTTGTTTGTTTTGTAGGGTTTTCTGTTTTGATTTTTTTTTTAAGGCAGGGTTTCTCTGTAGCTCTGGGCTGTCCTAGAACTCGCTCTGTAGATCAGGCTAGCCTCAGACTCAGAAATCTGCCTGCCTCTGCCTCCTGAGTGCTAGAATTAAAGGAGTATGCCACTATTTGCCCAGCAGGATAACCTCAAGTCTAGGGAGCCACGCCTGGGCCAGCCCCTGAAAATCCTTGGAATTAGGGAAGAGATGAACTGAATCGCTGGAGCCATAGCGCGCTGCAGGCCACCAACCCTGCAGGCCTACAGCCTCTCCGTGACCTTGCAAGCTCTGGACCCACCCCAGCTGGAAATAATGTCCTAAGTCAGTGTAGAAGGGGGCCGCTGACTTCATCCGCCTCTCCTTGGAGCACAGTCTCTGTAGCCTTGGGGTGGTCACCCTTGTCAGGCAAGCCTGTGGCAGTAACAACTCTTGGACTCCTCCTGGGCACAGAGGAAGCTCTGTGATCTCTGGAATAAAACACCTGCTTGGTTTCTCCCCAGTCCAACCCATTTCTGTTACTCTGCTGAGGTGGGAGGTACCAAGGTAGTCTGCATACCCCGTGAGTGAGATGCTGTCTGATGGCTGTACCAGGTGTGGTGGTGGATGCGGCAATGGTGGTATCTGTTGAGGGTGTTGCGCCTTTACCTTCCGAGGCTCTCTTCCTGCCCTACTCCTCTGCACCTTCTGCAGCCCTCCTGAAGCTTGCATGGTCCTCTATACCTGTCTTAGCAGCCTCCAAGAGTGCAGAGGGCCCAGCTAAGGATGACAGGTGTACTCCAAGGAAGCCTTGAATAACCCCGCCTGGGGGCGTCTTGGAGAAGGTAGCCTGCTCCCTGATGTGCTTGAAGTTTGCTTATCCCTGTCAGGAGTGGGGTCCCCAATGACCTTTCAGGTTGTGTGCCTTGCCCTAGAAGAAGGCAAGCATGGGTTTGATCACTCAGAGTGTGCGCTTCCTCAGGATAGTAGCTGCCTGAGCCTCCCCTGATGGTCTTGAGTTAGGTTGGGCTTAATATCCAGGACCATTGCTTTGTGGGGCCACAAACGGGAGTCTACAGCTACCCAAGACCTTAACTTACGCTGCCCTGGCCCAGCAAAGCCCAGATGGGAGTGGGGAAACAGCACAGGCGAGCTGCAGTGTGTGTCAGGCAGCAGGGCAGAAGTTGGGAGCCACAGTAAGCGGAGGAGAAGCTAGACACTGAGCAGACAGCCTCGGAGGTGCAAGTCCTGCAGCCACATGAGCTACTGGCGATGACTTGGAACTCTTGGCCACAAGCCTAGTGGTTGGCGTGGGCTGCACCCTCTGGTGGCTGTGTGCAGCACTGTTTCCTGAAGGCCCTTGCTGGACATGGTCTTAGCGGTCGGGTGGTACAGTAGGACTTGCCCTACCATTGAGCCCACCCCCTACCCTGCAGTCTGACAGACAGGGTGCCCGGAGCCAGCTGAGCTTAGTGAGAGCATTGGAACCTCTGGAGCTCCACACCTCCAAGACTTCCTTAGTCCTAAGGCACTATGCAGCCAGTACCCCTTAGCCCCTTATCTGTCCCATTCACAGGGTCCGGTCACTCTGTGAAAGTGCCCTGGCCGCTTAGGGGACACTGAGGTATCAAGTCAGCTTTAGGTAAAGTGGTGGTGGTGGGGTACACTTGCAGATAAGAGTCTCCAGCCCATAGTGGGTTTCCGGGGGGGGGACTCTTGGGCAGGCTCAGCCCTCCTCAATGACTCAGCTCTAGTGAAGTGACCACTGTTTCCTTGGTGGTCAGAACCTGTGTCTGTACCCTGAGCTACGTGCCTGAAGGGATAGCTAGTCTCTAGGGTGCCTGGGCTGGGACAGGCTGGCAAAGGGTGGGGCCAGGTTCCATGCTGTACTTGGCGCCTGAGGTCCGCCCAGGCCTTCAAGGGGCTGTGGGCAGTGGTAATGGGCAGACTTTATGGTTTTCCTGTTGAGAGGAACCTAGATCAGGAGAGCTATTGTCCCCAAACAATGAGCCTGGCTAAGACCCATGAGGGAAGTGGCCCCAAGTTGGTGAGACCAAACCCATCAGCCATCACCCACTTTCAACCCTCAACCTGACCTTGGGTCTAGCCTGCCCTGAGGCTCATGCTGCCACACTCTTGATTCCTGCTATCCCAGCTGACCCCGGATGGGGAGGAACATGGAGGTGCTCCCGAAACATCTGCAAAAGGCTTTAATGCATAATGCGCCTTGTACCCCAGCCTGCTGCTTAGATGGAGGCCTGGCAGGTCCAGTCCAGGAGGCCCCAGCTTGGGCCAAGGTTGGAGAAGTCTAGAGAGAAGGTCTAAATAAGCCTGGTGAGCTGAAGACAGTATCCACTCTGCTGTACGGTGTAACTCCTGTCCCCAAATATGAAGGTTGTGAATAGCTATCAGCCAGACACCTGCCTCAGCAGAGCCTGGGAAATGATTATTATGGCCTGATCGCACAGCATGTCCTGGGGAATGGCCAGCCTCCTCTCCCTGCCCAGTGGAGCTGGACTGACCATTGCGGAAATGCCCTAGAGTAGGGGCAAGGCTCAGATTCTAGTGGGTAGAGGAGAAGCAGGATCAGCATGCTGCCACAGTGCCTGTGTTCCCAAGTGGCATAGGATTGCTGAGGTGGCTTTCATCACCATAAGCACTCACCTCAGAGCCGGGCACCACCACCCTCATTACCTACAGACAAGCTAAATCCATAGGAGAGCAGCCTCACTACAGAGCGAGTTCCAGGACAGCCAGGGCTACACAGAGAAACCCTGTCTCAAAACAAAACAAAAAACCGAAGAGGAAGGTTTAATCACGTCTGTCCACTGTGTCGCCTCACACACACACTCGCACTTCAGTGGCAAGGGTAACAGAGAAGCTGGAGGCTGTCTATGCCCTTCGCCAGCTGGGAGGCTAGAATAGTCTACTCAGGGTACTCTGAGACTCTAGGACCTTCATCTCTCACAAACCTTTTACCAGGATAGACTCTCCAACTACACACACACACACACAGACACACACACACTCACTCAAAAATACATCTTTCTCAGTCATTTGTGAGTTTTTCACCGAGAAGACACTAGCAACGAATGCCTAAGAGCGGAGCCAGTGGCGCAGCAGGGAACAGCCAGGCTGCCTGTGACACGTGAGGGATCTAGCAAGTAAACTGGAGTAAGCTGGTAGGTGGCACGGTGTTAGAAGCAGAGGCAGGAGGATCAGTGTGAGTTCAAGGTCAGCATAGGCTACAGAGAGCAACTGTTTGAAACAGCAGAGTGGGGGACCCTGCAGAGGCCAGCCAAGGGGAAATGAACTGTTTGAAACAGCAGAGTGGGGGACCCTGCAGAGGCCAGCCGAGGAGAAATGAACTGTTTGAAACAGCAGAGTGGGGGACCCTGCAGAGGCCAGCCGAGGAGAAATGAAGCCATGCTAGACAGCCAGGCAGGACCTGAGGATAACACACGGGTCTCCTATTCCAAAAAACACCGTGGCTGGTGGAACAGAATGGGCCCGGAGAGCTGGGTGGTGCCCTGCCCTGCGTGGGTGCAGGCTGTGGGGTAGGAGACAGACTGCTCCACAGCAGAGGTCTTGGCAGTCTCAGGATGTGTGGGGAAATGGGTTCTGGTAGGACTATGTTCAGGCTGCTGCAAGGTGGACAGAGAGGTCTCTGGACAGAACTGGGCTGAGGTGGGTTCAGGCTCTGCAGCCTATGGAGGGCTTCTGAGGGAACATCCCTAACAGGTGTGCCCCACACAAGTTGCTGTTCAAGAACAAGATTTCCCAGCCCATTGACAGTGACTCAGACTTGGAGTGGTGGCATTGTCTCGGGCCGTGTCCAGGCTGGGTGAAGCACAGGTGTTACATTCCTTCTTTCGTAGTTTGCTTTCTCTGCTGTGATTTTTTTTAATTTCACTAGATTTAGTAATGTTATGTGCATACATGTATGCACACCATGTGCCTGCTTGGTGCCTGCTGAGGTCAGGAAAGGGTACTAGATCCCCGGAACTAGAGCTACGGATTGCCGTGAACCACGTGGGTGCCAGAGAGTGGGCCTGGGTCCTCTGCAAGAGCAACAAGTGTCTCAACGGCTGAGCGACTCTCCAGTCTGCTGCTGTTAAAGTGCTGAGCAGACCCACCTTGGGAAGGGGGAGGGTTCCTCCGGCTCACACGTCCCCATCACAGTCTGTCACTGAAGGAAGCCAGGGCAGGAACACTGCTTACTGTCTCCCACTCCAGTTTGTTCAGCGTGCTTGCTCAGACAGCCAGTACCACTTCAGCGGATGGCGTGGCCCACAGTGGGTTGGGCCTTCCCACGTCAAACATCAGTCAAGAAAATGCCCACAGGGCAAACCCGTGGAGGACTAACTTGATGAGCACTGCTTCTTCCTGGGTGAATGATTTGAGTCTAGTTAGTGACCAGTCATCACACCTCCTCCACTGAGGTGCAGCAAGCAGAAGGAAGCCCAGAGGGCCGGATTGCAGGTCTCACAGACCGGGACTTCATGGTTAAGTCCTTCATGCTCTAGCCCTGTGCAAAGGAGAGAGGTTTCCCCGGCAGGCGAGAACCACCCAGGCAGCCTGTCCCCCACCCCACTTCTCCACCAGCCTTCTGGGTGTGGGGGCCAAGGGCACTCTGTTCTCCCCATTCCCCCGCTCCCAAATCCTGGGATGTGCGTGGTGAAGGGTGCGCTGTGGCGAAGGTGAAGGGTCAGTTTTGCCAAGGGGCAATATACCTCAAGGTTCTGTTGACAGTCCACTAATGCTCAGAGACAAACCCAGGAAATGCAGGCACTCAGGGTGGAAGGGGCTGGGGGAGCCTTCCTGAGGCCCTAGGATAGGAGATGTGTGGGAGCTACACCAGGACATCTTCCCGGAGCCATGGCAAATGGACACAAAACTCTCGAGTATCTAGAAGAGACAGGTCTCCCTATGCTTGTGACCTGCGTGGCGACAGCGAGCATGTAAGGATGAGACTTAAGAAGGTGTAGAGTGTGAGGAGGTGTGGGCAGGACGCCATGGCAAGGGACGGCATGGGTCTGCGGGTCGGAAGTGCCCAGAGGTTGGGGTGTCACATTCTGCAGAGTGGAGCAGCCCAGCAGAGGCAAGCCCGTGGTCCAGAAGCAGACGTGTGCCCTGCTGTGAGGACCTGGGAGAAGTCAGCTTCTGTGACGCCTGGTGGCTAGGCACAAGTTCTGTGAAGGTAGTCAGCAGAGGGACACGGGGCCAGGGCGTCCCCACGCTGGGCGCTGGGTGAGTCACCACTGACCCGACGTCCTGGCGCCAAGGGGGGGGGAGCAGGCCACTTTTACAGCAGGAAGCCACAAAGGCTGATAAAGGGCAGGGTTGGAAGCCAAGGGTTTCCCACTTCCTGCAGACTGGGTATGGCCAGGAGACCTGCAGGCATCTGCCTTTGCAGGTCCAGGGGTCCACAGCCTGGCCTGGATGGCTCACAAAACAGGACACACTTATCCCGTGGCTTGTCTAGCTGCACCTTTGGGTAGCGTGGCAAGAAAGGAGCTCGTG